GCTGCACAACAAACCCCCTGTCTGGAATGAAGACAGCGGATCCTACACCCTCAACTTCCAAGGCCGCGTCACACAAGCCTCGGTCAAGAACTTCCAGATTGTTCACGCCGATGACCGTGAGTATTGGAGGCCCTGAGCCACCACTGCCAGAACCCCAGCCCTCACTCAGGCCTTTCCCCACCATCTCTCCTGAGTGCTCTCTCTCTCACACACACACATGTGCAGAGCTGTCCTTTATTGCTAGAGCCAGAACACCCAGGAAAGTCACTCCCTCCTGCAAGGCCATTGACACTATGCTCCCAGAAGCCTCAGATATTCCAAGCAGGTGTCTTGGGGCTCATTGCTTCAGGCCTTCTTGCTAGCATTGACCAGAGCCTGGGGTGGATCCTGGGATACCACCCTGGGTAAGAAAAACGGTGTTGAAGGGAGAATTAATCTGCTGGAGCTTGAAAACCCGCTGATAGCGCAACCTCTATGTGGTCAAAGAAGGTGCTGAGGCTCCGAGAGGGCAGGGCCTTCCTCAAAGTCAGCAACTCCAGGGGGTTCCGCTGGCCGTCGAAATTTATTTGCAAAACACGTACACAGGGCTTCCTACGTGCTAGGCACTGTTCTCTGGACTTTGCAGACACTGAACCATTAAATCTTTTCAAGAATCCTGTGAGCAAGGCATTGTTACTGTCCCTATTTGGCAGATGAGAAAACGGAGGCACAGAGAAGTTACTTCCCCAAGGTCATACAGCAACTGAGGGGGAGAATTGGCTAGAAAACGCAGGTGGTCTGGCTCCAGAGCCCCAGCTCCTGACGCCTTCAGGGTAGCTGCCTTGTATGGGTAGGGAATATTAAGCAAGCATTTCTGAACGTCTAATCTCTTGTGCTCTCTCAAATAAGGTCAAAGGCCTGGCCTCAAGGAGTTAGGGGGAAAAGATATGCCCAGAAAACACAATTAAGTAAAAATGTCCCTGTCACAAGCCTGGGAGAGAGGTTCCCACTCGGGTTGAGGAAATTTGGGGATGGAAAGATCTCTCCCATGGGACTCCAGGTTCCCAGGATTGGCTAACACCGAGCAACTCCTCCATCCCCCACTCCATCCTAGGGATGTCTCCCCAGTGTCACCTGTCCCAAGGCCTTGGAAAACTGCTCTCCAGATCACATTTCTGGTGGAGCCTGGTCTGCAGAGATCAGGGCTATTTTTAGCAACTTCCTGTCCCTATGGATGCTGGGGGGAGGTGTTGGGATTAGGGTTGGGAACCTGGACCAGATATGGGATGGGGTTGAGTGGAGCCACTGGATAAGGAAGGATTGGAGGCGGGTAGTTAAGAGATAGAGCCTGGCAGTCTAAGATGCTACTTGATATCTGGGGATGGGAAGAAGGAATGAGGCCCAGAGACACTGGAAAGAACAGGATTCTAGGCTTGGGGAAGTGTGACAGGTTCCTATATTTAAGTGCCTGTCATACACATAGCCCTAGGTGGCAGAAGATAAGGCGAGGTCCCTGCCCTCAGGGGCTTACAGTCAGTCAGAAGTCTGGGAAACCTGCAGGTGGGACTGATTGGGCCAGATGAGAAGGGGTGGCTGGGTGGAGGATGGATGGCTGAGGGTTAGGGGCCCAATACAAGGGAGGGGAACTGTTCGCAATGTGGAGGGGGCTGTCTGCCAGGAATGGGGACCCAGGAGGTCGGGGGCCACCCCCACCCCTGTCTGTGTCCACAGCTGACTACATTGTACTGCAGTTCGGCCGCGTGGCCGAGGACGCCTTCACCCTAGACTACCGGTACCCGCTGTGCGCCCTGCAGGCCTTCGCCATCGCCCTCTCCAGTTTCGACGGGAAGCTGGCCTGCGAGTGACCCCAGCAGCCCCCAGCACCCCCAGAGCCCTCCGAGGGTGGGGGAAAGGATTCGGTGGAGGGTTGCAGGGTCTATTCACCAAAGCCCCCACTGAAGACTCCTCTCTTGTCGGGGGCTGACCCCTCACTGTCTCCGAGTGACCTCCGGCCACTCCCCTGTTTGGCCCAGGCCGAGGCGGGGGAGGAGCGCAGACGGCGGTCCGACAGAGATGAAGAACATCTGGAGTTGGGAGCCACACATCTGGTCGCGGAGCTAGCCTGCGCTGCTTCACCAGCCGCCCCCCTTCCCCGCCCCGCGCCCCAGTCACTTCCTGTCCGGGAGCAGTAGTCAGTGTTATTTTAACCCCCTCCGGAATCGCACTAGGGCTCCGCGGAGCGGGGCGGGTTCGGAGGAGGGGGCAGGTGATGGGGGACGAAGACCGGGTACCCACATCCCCAGTAAAGCCGCGTCCCAGGCCCGGCGAGCAGTGGTTCTTCAGCGCGTGCCGAGAACTAGGCGGCGGGAGGGGTCCGGAGCGCGGGAGAGGTCCGGAGGGCGGGCTGGAGGCCTCCCTCCCCCCAACCCCCCTACCCGCTCCCGCCCAGGCCCGGGGCGCTCCCGCGTCCCTCCCCCGCGCCCAGCGCCGGTCCTACCGAAACTCGGCGGGCTCCTAATGTCGAGACGCCCCCCGCGGGGGCCCCGGGCCGAGAGGGAGGGCCCCGGAGGTCCGGGAAGAGGGGGAAAGGGAGAAATTCGAGAAACAAGCCTCTCGGGGAGAACCAGACAAACCGGGTCCGGGCATGGAGGGCGCAGTCGCCAGGGTGGGGCGGGGTCTGGGGCCCCGGGAATTGGGGGCGGGCTCTCGGGCTGAAGAGGGCGCTCCGCCTCGGCGGTTGGGACTCGTGGGGTGGGGGTGGAGTGTGGGGGGTGGGTGGGTAGGGAGCCCCGAGGCCCGTGCGCTCCGGCTCCCCCGGGCTCTTCGTGACGCGGCACCCCGACGGGAGTCCAGCGGGCTAGGCGGGAGCTCCGCCCTCGGCCCCGCCCAGGCCGGAGCCCCGAGTTGCGGTGGGGTCCTGGGGAGGTGGGGTAAGTCCAGGCGTGCAGGGAGAAGTTGGGAGCGTGGCAAAGGCAGGCGGGGAAGCGGAGCGCCTAGGCGCGGGAAGGCCGGGAGCAGCCACAGGTCGCGAAGTCGCGGGCTGGGCAGCCCGAGCGCCGACTGGGGGTGGCCCCGCGCGGCTCCGCCCCTCCCGGCCGGTGCCCGCCCCCCTGCGCGCCCCGCCCCCTCCTTCCCCGCAGCCCCCACCCCCCGCCCCGGCTCCTCAACACAAACTTTCCGTCCCGCTCGCTCCCTCCTCCGCGCCCGGCGCCTCCCGCTCCGGCCCGGCTCATTCCGCACATTCCGGCCAGCCCCCTCCCCAAGACCCCCCTTCCCTGGCCCCCCTCTCAGCTCTTTCGGGCCCGGCGGAGCGGCCCGGCCGGAGCGCCCCCCCGAGCTCGGACCAGGTAAGCCGGGCGGACGCCGGGAGGAGGCCCTGCTGGGAGAGGTGGTTTGGTTGGCTGGTTCTGGCTTGGGGGGGGGGCACTCGCGGGGGGCTAGATCCCCGAGCTATTGTCCAGCTAGAGCCTGAGCCCCCGATCTGGGTGCCGGGAAGTTTAGAGGGAAGGGGGGGGGAAAAAGCTCTCCGGGAAGCCCCGCCCACCCCTCCTACCCCCCCACCCCCCCCCGCGCGACCCGGACGAGTTGGTCGGGGGAGGTCGGGGAGTCGGGAGATTGTCCCGGGTGCCATCGTCTATCCCACCGTCCGAGTTTGGGGTGCCGAGGCAGGGGTCTCGGGGGCGCACGGTTTGGGGGCCCTGCCACCGGGGAGATCGTACCCAAGACTCCCAGTCCCGGGCCCCGGCCGCCCTTTGGACTCCCGGCTCGCGCTCTCTCGGAGCCCGCCCGGCTCCAGCTCCACGCAGGCCTCGGGCCCGGCCTCCCGGGGTCCAGGCCGGCTCCTGCGCGCGGTGCCTGTGGCTGCGCTGGATTGTGGAGGGTGACCGGGAGCAGAGCTACGCGCCCTGGGCGTGTGCCCCCTGAGAGGCAGGGGCTCAAGCTCCGTGTCCAGTTCTGCCGCCGTGGGTGGAGGAGGTTCGGAGTCCCAGACCAGGGCTCTAAGTGCCTGGCTCCAAAGGGGGCAGGTTTTGGGGCCTTATTTACTTCCTCAGAGCCCTTGTTTAGACTTTAGAGGGTTTGAAGGAGGCTTGTCCCCACCACCATTGTCTGTCATGCCCTTTACTCCTGCCTGGGGAGGAAAGGCCAGGAGTGCCTGTCTGCATTTGGTTTTCAGCTAGCCAGGCCCTGGGGAAGTGTCATTGAGACCCCACTCCGTCACCTTTTTGGGAGCGAGGCCCTGATCCCGGGCTCAAAGATTCTTATCGGACAAGAGGGAATGAGGCCTTGAGGGAGGGCTTCTCAGGGGGGGCACCTCCCTCTGTGCTTTTCTCTCTCCAGGTAGAGGCAGAACCAGCTCAGGCCTGGACTTGTAGTCCGCGAAAGCAGGGGATGGGGGTAGGGACTGGACACAGCTCTAGGGGCTGGGGCCCAGGGCGGCTCTGTCCTATCCCATCTCTTGTGGCCTGGTTCCTTGTGTGCATGTTCCACCCCAGTGCGGGGGGGGGGGGGCAAGGACACCTCCCTGGTTAGCATGTCGGGGGCAGCCTGGGGCAAGGAGGATATCCAAAGTCCCCCCGAAGTTGGAGATCTGGGAGAATCATGTTCTCCTCCCTTCCAGATTCTTGTAGCTCCTTTTCCAAGACCTGCTCCCTGCCTCCCCCCCCCCCCCAAGGAGGGTGTCACTCATCTTCTGGATCACCCTGTGGTGTATCTTCTAGGAATAGGCTGTTAGGGGAGGGTGACTTCAGGGGCCTTGGATGTCCCCTCTTCAGGGAGAGGCTAAGAGCCAATTGGATTCCCAACGTCATGAGTCTTCCCCCACCCCCCTAAGGGAGGGAACATTAATTAATGCTAATTAGTGCATTTGGACTGGGGATTGGCTCAGTGGGATGGTCAGTGATTGGCAGGACAGAGCTGTGTGTGTGTGTGTGTGTGTGTGTGTGTGTGTGTGTGTGTGTGTGTTTCTCTCTCTGCACCTGGTCTGTGCTCCCACCCTCACCCTCAGGTTTGTACACCCTGTGCATTCTGCCAGTTGAGGGAATATTAAAATGAGCAGAGATATCTCAAAAGAGGAGGTTAAGGAACTGGAGATCTGTCCCATCTGGGCCTTTAACAACCTGTGTCATCTTGGGCCTCAGTTTCCCCGCTCAGAACAAATGACTTCTCAGGTCCCTTATCTCTGAGCACCTTCCAAAGTCTCAGTCGTCTAGTCAGCTGGCCTGCCTTCTCCTTCCATTATGGATCTTGAACCTGGTGAGTTCTGGAGAGGTGAGTGGGTGACCCAGGGGCCAAAGGAAGAAGGTGACTGAGAAGTCTGTGAACCAGGCGAGTGTGGCTGAAGGGGTTGCGGGCAGCAAGGGGCAAGGGACAAGGAAGCCAGGCGGAGCTGAGGGAACTTGTCCTCTGAAGAGACCCTGGGGTCTGGGAAGGCCAGTGGGGGCGAATAGTGTTGAGAGGTCGCTTGGATGGCCTGCCCCTCAGCCTGACTCCCAGACCGCCCCCCTAGGGGCGTGGAGCAGAAGCTGGAAGGGAGCGGAAGCTATCAGTGCCCCCTACCTCTTCACTTAGGAAGGGATGAGGAGCTGAGGGCTCCCGCCACCGTGAGGAGAGGGAAAGGGATCTGGGGCGTCAGACCCCAAGGAGCCGGGGAGCCATGTGGGCCCTTGACACTGCAGCTTTGTATGGAGGGAGCTAGGAGGTGGCAGTCTCCACCTCCCATGTGGGGGCTGCAGAAGCTGGGGGGCCCGAGGGGTGGCCTTGAGGAACCAGGTCTCCATGGACCGGTGGCGCAGCCCTGGGACTGTGGTGGAAGCTTCTCTGCTCAGAGGTCAACAGATCACATTCAGGCCTGTCCTCAAGGCCTTGCCCTAGCCTCACCTCTCTGCTGGTGTTGTGCCAGCCTGGGCTTGTCTGCAGGAGAGGTGCTGCCCCTCAGAGGAGGCCCCGAGACGGGGAAGGACCCTGTCCTCGAAGGGTCCCACAGGAGGCTGGAGGCCAGAGAGGCCCGCCGTGCCTCTGGTCTCCCTAAAGCCTCAGCCCTTGAGGTTTCCTAGAGTGCTGATTGCTTCCTGTGCTCCGTGCCAGGCCCGAAAGGACAGGAAGTGATTGAGGGAAATGAGAGCGCAACCGTGTGTGACGCTGGACGTGTGTGAGAGAGGGAGGCTGAGTGGGACACTCTGTGTGGGTGACACCAAGTGTGCGGGGGGTGCGCCCGTGAGGGAACCGGCTAAAACCATTTTGCGTGACTGCCTGTGAGGCCGGACTTGTACGCGAGGGAAGCTGTGACATTGCCTGTGACTCTGTAACACTCGCGTGCGTGACTGATACGGTGTGTACGTGGGAGCCACCATGAACGACACGCTCAGCGTGCGTGTGAAGGAGAGACACGCACTCGGTCTCTGTGTGAGTGGTCATCACCGGGGACGCGTTTTATGGAAGACCCAACGGTGGGAGCCAGTGTCTGACACCGGATGGGGTCCTGATGCCCAGAATGCATCGGGACACTGCGATTGTTTGATGTAGCATGCGCGCGCGCACCACATTCGGTGTGACGTGCGGTGCAGTGGTGTGACTACGTGTGTGTGGGTGTGAACAGCATGTGAGGGAGCCTCAGGTTTGTAGGAACTCTGATGGGATGTGTGTGCCAGTATGTGTGCCACTAGGAGAAAAAACGAGGACAGGACGCGCGCGGTGTGTGTGAGTAGAGGCCATCCTGCCACGGTGCCGAGCGGCCGTTGTGCTACGCGGAGTGGAAAGTAGGGGTGTAGGTGAACCCGAGCTCCAGACCCTGCCTGGGCAGTGCCACATGGGACGGGGCGTGACTGGGGCGGCCTCTGTGATCCGGCACTCTCTGAGATTGCTGGGGACCATGGGACAGTGTGGGTGACAACCGTCAGGGCTGTGCCAGGCACGCTCCGGAGACCACGTGTGACAAATTTGCAGGCCTGGGACCCCGATTCGGGGGAGTGGGGGGGAGCGGCCACGTGGAGGAGCATGAAAAAACTAGCCGTTAAAAACAAAGAAGGAGAGGCGCCTGGGTGTCTTGGGTTCAGATCATGATCTCACAGTCCATGGGTTCGAGCCCCACGTCAGGCTCTGTGCTAACAGCTCAGAGCCTGGAGCCTGTTTCAGATTCAGAGTCTCCCTCTCTCTCTGCCCCTCCCCCGCTGGCTCTCTGTCTCTGTCTCTCAAAATAAAATAAAGACATAAAAAATTTTAAAACAAAAAACAAGGAAGGAAAGTCCACAAATGCCACTGACTGGTGTGCCTAAAGATGGTTAAGGTGGTGAATGTGGTGTTCTGTATGGGTGACCACGTAGAAAGTTTAAAAAGAAACAAAGGCTGGAGACGCAGGTAACAGTGACTGTGCCGGACGATGGCCGGCCGAGGGACAAGTGTGTGTGTGAGGGAGGAGGGCTAAGAGGAAGCCTGTGTGTGTTTATAGAGGACACTGTGACTCTCATGGTGGGGGGGTTGACCGAGGGACTGGTGGCAGTGCGGTGCATGTCTTGATGTGACACAGGGTACCAGGTGGAGCACTGGGAAACCCACTTGCCCAAACTACTCATTGGCTGCCTCCCTGCGCACGCCCCCCCCCCCCCCCGCCCCGCTGGATACCTGTTTTCGATGCAGTGGGACAAGATGAGGAGCCAGGGATGCCTGGCTGGCTCAGTCAGTGGAGACGGCAACTCTTGATCTCGGGGTTATGGGTTCAAGTCCCACATTGGGCGTAGAGATTACTCAGTTTAAAAAAAAAGAGACAGGACAGAGTCTCAGAGTAGGGGCGAAGGGAGGAATGGGCACTGGGTCCCTTCTCTGCGGAGGTTTGAGGGCGCTGAGACTTTACCTCCCGCTCTCCTACATGGGTTGGGGGGGCGGTGCGGGGACAGTAAGGATGCACCTTTGGAGGAGGAAGCCTGGGGGGCTGCCTGCCCCCTCTGCTACCCAGGAAGCGTAGGGGGTGGGTGCAGAGAGTCCTGGTTCCCAAATTGGAAGCACATTAATAAGCTGGAGAGAGGGGAGGAGTTCTCCCCACCTCCCTCCTAGTGGGCTCTGCAAATTGCTTCCTCCTGTAAAAATCTCTACCCTGCTCCAGGGAGGAGGGTACTCCCTCCCCAGGCTGGCAGGGTGTGGCCACTTGGCCGGGTCCCTCAGGGGTCCCCGTGCTGGAGGTGGGGGAGGCAGACACCATCCCCCCTCCTGCCCCCTCTGCGGTCCCAGCCGGAGCCCGGCTACTTCTAGGGTGGGACCTTCTGGCAGCTGGAGAACAGCTGGCCCCGCTGTGGGGGCGGGTGAGAAGGAAGAAGGGAAAGGCAGAGGGGGCGGGGAGGCTCCCTTAACCCTCTGTGACTGCCCTCCCCATCCTCAACCCCCTGGTGGGGGTCAGCCCGGCCCAGGTTTGGGGGTGGGAGGTTGGGGATGCCAGTGCTGGTTTCACTACTCTCGCTGCCCTTGCAACAGTGTTCCGACTCCCAAGTGATAGGCCCGTGGTCCCTTCGGGAGTGGACAGCAGCGGGCCCCTAGACCCAGTCAGGTCCCTGAGCTAGTTTGTCCTCCCAGTGGGGGGCTGTTGTGGAAGGGAGGGGGGCAAGGGGACGTGGGGACAATGCCCACTTGCCTCGACTGGCCTTGTCTGAATCCCCAGTCAGGGCGGAGTTCTGGGGGAGCTCTCTCCTCTCCTCCCTTGAAAGGGAGGTGTGGGGCTGGCTGGTTTGGAGGCCGCTGGCCCCGTGGGGGTGGGGGCCTAGGGCTGCCCGCCTCTGGCCTCCTGTCCGCCTCTGGCCTCCTGTCCGTCCTGGGAGCTGTCCAGCCGGTTATTCCAGCAGTCTGGCCCCAGGGTGGGGAGTGGGCAGCAGGGTGCCCCTTATCTCCCCCAGGGCCCCGAAGCCTGCTCACCCAGCCGCCTAGCTCCCATCCCTGCCACCGCCCAGAGGCACCTCTGACCTCGGAAGGCTGAGGGCCCTGAAAGAATGGAAGCAAGAGCAGCTGGTCAGACTGAGGCAGAGCGGACCTCGGCCTTTGGCAGTAATGGGCCACTGCAGGGAGGGCAGGGGAGCTAGGAGGTGGTCTCTGAGAGTGACGGAGCAAGTGGGACAGGAGTGGGATGCCACGGGCATGGCCCTGTTGTGGCTTCCCCGCCACCCTGCCTTCCAGGTCTGTCCCGAGCTCTGGGTCTTCCTGCTGCGGCTCCCTCCTGTCCCCCGCTGCCCCACGGTGTCTGAGTTTATTGATACTGCCCCTTCCTGCCCCTTGCAGCCCCCTCGGCGCTGCGCGTCCGTCTCCGTCTCCTTGGATCTTGGTTTCTGCCTGTCTTGGTCTTTTGGTCACTGTCTCTGGGTCCAGCTCTCTCTCTCTCTCTGGCACCCTCCCTGGCCTGTCGGCCTGCCTCTCTCTGGATCTCTCCTTCTCTGGGTCTCCCTCCAAGCTTTTGTGGGGCTTCTGTCTCTTATTCTCTGGGACTCTCCTGTCTCCCTTGCCTGCTTTCTTGTCTGTCTGTCGGGGGTCTGGCTCCCTCTGCTTTACCCCACCCCCAGACTCTTCCCAGGCTCCACCCCCTTGCCCCGCGTGTCCTCCTCACTGTCTCCCACCCCTCCTGGTGGCCCGGGCAGCTGGGTGAGCCCCCACAAGCAGCTGGGGGGATGAGACCCTGCCCTGGACCGCCTCTCACCCCAGGGCACCCATCTCCCTTCACCCTGCACCGTCTCCCTTCCTCCCTGCACTGGCTCCCTTCGGCTCCCTTCCTCCCTGCCCTGTGCCAGAGCCCCACATGCTGGACTCCAGCCTGCAGCCGTACCAAGAGCAGCCAGCCCCGGAGCTGGGTGCCCAGTGGGGTGAGGGTCTGAGGCTCGGTCCACATCCCCCAGCAGTAACTCGGGGAAGACCCCAGCTCTGCCCCCTGCCCAGCACGGCTGCCGCTCGCCATGGCCCACGGGTGTGCCCCAGCCTGGGGGTACAGAAATTCTTATTTGCATGTCAGTGCAGGCGGCCACGCAGCACACCTGCACCCGTGTGCTCCCGTGCCCGGCCGTGTGGGGTAGGGGTCACCTGTGGGCCCCTGTGTTGCCGCCTGCGCCCCCAGGAGTGTTCCTAGAAAGTGAGCCTCCCCTGTGCCTGTGAGCCAGCGGGAGGGACGGGGGTCCCACCGGCTCCTTGACTCGTCCTTGCAGCCGCCCCCTGGGCTCCCCTCCCCCTCACCAGCTGCCAGCGGTCCCAGCCAGGGGCCGCCGCCCCGCCCCCCCAGTCTGTCCCAGCTCCCAAGCACTGCTGTGTTCGCCATATTTGGCCACAGTGCTCCTGCGGGGGGCGGGGCGGGGCTGACATCACCCTGAGAAGGGGGGGGCCACCGCCTGGAAGAGGGGAGGCGGGCAGAGACTTGGGGGAGGCAGGAAAGTTGCTGTGAAAAGTCTGGGGCTGCCAGGGCCCCCCATGCGCTGGGCCCCTGCTGCTCTGCGGGAGGCCTCAGGAAAGGACTTGGGGGGAAATGGGTTGAGGAGTCTGTCAGGAGGGGTCTTAGGGCCCTGTAGCCCCTCTTCTGCCTCCCCTCTGATAGCCTGTGGCAGTGTTGGATCTGGGAGGAGGCCCTGCATCTCAACAACCTCAGTATGGGAGTCACTGGGTCCCCAGAGTCTCTGCCCTCTCACATTTTTATTCCAAGAACCAAGAACGCGGCTTCAGGAGTTAAGGAGGGGACGGGGGGCATAGCTTCCGGTGGGGAGAGACAGGCTGGGAGTAGAGGAGTGTGGCCCTCTCACTGGTCAGGAGCATGGCTTCCTTCCTGTCTCCCTGGCCGCCCCTCTGGTGTGGGAGAGCTATTCCTCGTGGTCTTGGAGGCCTCACAGAAAGGGCTGCAGCAATGTGGGCGTCCTTGAAGGTGCCCCAGCTACTTGGGCTGGGGGTGGGGTGGGGGCTGGTCTGGACCCCTCTGGGTGGGCTCAGGGCGGTTGGCCAGGACAGCTGGGCCTCCTTTCTCGTGCAAGGTGGCGAGGTTTCTCAGCTTCATCCCCTCGGTTGAGGGACTGAAGCCAGATGGCCCGCGCTCAGAACCCAGCTCTAGCACATACTAGCTGTGTGTCTGCCAAGTTGCTTAACCTCTCTGTTCTTTGGTTTCCTCATCTGTAAAGTGGGACTAGAAATAGTCTCTACCCCATAGGTTATTTTATTTTTAATTTTTAAATCTTTATTTATTTTTGAGAGAGAGAGAGAGACAGAGTGTGAGCAGGGGAGGGACAGAGAGAGAGGAAGACACAGAATCTGAAGCAGGCTCCAGGCTCTGAGCTGTCAGCACAGAGCCCGACATTGGGGCTCAGACTCACGGATTGTGAGATCATGACCTGAGCCGAAGTTGGACGCTTAATGAACTCAGCCACTCAGGTGCCTCTACCCCATAGGTTATTTTGAGGATTAAATGATTCAATGTGTATAAAGTCCCAGAATGGTGCCTCCATACAGTAGGTGCTGTCATTAGTAGCCTTTTTTGGTAAATTTTAATGTTTATTTATTTTTGAGAGAGAGAGAGACAGAGCACAAGCCGGAAAAGCAGCAGAGAGAGCGAAAGGGAGACACAGAATCCAAAGCAGGCTCCCGGCTCTGAGCTGTCAGCACAGAGCCCGACCTGGGGCTCGAACTCACGGATCATGAGATCATGACCTGAGCCGAAGTCGGACGCTGAACTGATGGAGCCCTCACGCACCTCAGTAGTAGTCTTACTTCTCTATCCTTCTGACATTCAGGCCTCCTAGGCCCTCCCCATCTCTTGCCACTGGTGACCCTCTTCAAGCCTCCCTAAACAGGTGGCCCCACAGAGAGGACCCCCTACCCATTTGGCAGGATCTGGAATTCTTGTCTGAGGGGAAAGAATTCCCTTCCCAGACCTCGGAGGCATCTCCCACATCTTTACCCTACCCTACATGCCCCTCGCTTTCCTCGCAGCCCAGAGCAAAAGCCTTGAATGTAGCCGTCTTGGGCTCCAAGGCTCCCAGGACCCTGATAGATGTGGCCATGCAGAGCCTGAGGCTGAAGGGGGCTGGGGATGAGCCTTGGAGCCGTGCATGCTGGGGGGGGGGGGGGGGGGGGGGGGGGGGGGGGGGGGGGGGGGGGGGGGGGGGGGGGGGGGGGGGGGGGGGGGGACTGCCGGGTGTGGTCTAAGTTAATAACCCAGCCTGGCGTGTGCGGGGAGCTCAGAGTTTACAGAGCCCTGGCCCATCTGCGATGTGGGCCAGGGCAGGGGCAGGCGTGTGGGTGGTTTATGGGCTGCTGTGGGGCTGGGAGGTGCAGGAACAGGAAGTGGGATGGAGGAGCCGGTGGGGTTGAGCAAGGCTGTTGGCCAGGCACCTTCTCAGCTGTTCCCTCGCCAGCCAGCCTCCCTCCCTCCTCACAAAGCCCGGGACAGTCCCTGCCCCCATGTTTAGGTTCCTTGTGAGTTATCTTTTAGGGAAGTCGAAACCACACCCTTCCTGGGTCTGGGACCCTCCTCATCCCACACAGTGGGTCTTCAGCAGGGTTCCACTGGTGTGGGGTGGGGGCGGGGTGGGGAAGATTGAAGAGGGGGGGTCCCTGGTTGGGGATGCTCAAGACCCGAGGAGGAGCAGGCAGAGTCAGAGGCGAGCAGCCCCTCTGAGAGCTGCAGACATGGCAGGCCCCGCTCCTGTGTCTCCTCTCTTTGCTCATCACAATGCCCTTGGCAGCTGCATGACCTTGGGAGCCTCAGTCTCTCATGTGAATAATGGGCACCAGTCCTTGCCCTCCCTGCCTTAGTGTTGAGGCTTGAATGAATGTGACTGTGTTTCTTCCCCACAAAAGTGCCATGTAGATATCAGCCATTATTATCCATCGATCACCACCAGTACTGCGTCTGAGTGATATGAGTCAGGCCCTGGGGGTTGGTACTTTGTCATGATCTCATTTCCCTCACAACCTCAAGGAGACCTTTTCCTGCCTTATAGGACTGTCTTATAGGACCACCGCTCAGAGAGGTGATGTAGCTCCTTCAAGGTCACACAGCGCCTAACCCCTGGCTCCCCCCACCCCCGCCCTGCCCCATGGCGCCTGCCCCCTGGGCGGCGGGAGATTGCTGTGACCTGGGAGAAGCCTGGCCCTAACCCCTGTGTGTCTGCCCCACAGGCTCCGGCCGCCCAGCGGGCTCAGGCCCAGAGCCCAGAGCAACCAGCACAATAGCGTCCAACAGCTGGAATGCCAGCAGCAGCCCCGGGGAGGCCCGGGAGGATGGGCCTGAGGGCCTGGACAAGGGGCTGGACAACGACGCGGAGGGCGTGTGGAGCCCCGACATCGAGCAGAGCTTCCAGGAGGCCCTGGCCATCTACCCGCCCTGCGGCCGCCGCAAGATCATCCTGTCGGACGAGGGCAAGATGTACGGTGCGTGTGGGAAGGCACGGGGGACACTGGACAGGACGACGCTGGAGAGGTGGCCCGGCCCTCCCGGCCCCTCCCTCTGCTCTCTGCCCCCTCACCCGACCGGTTTGGCGAAGGCCTGTGAGGCCGCAGGCCCGCCACGGGCGAGTCTGGGCGTGTGAGCCTGTGTGTCTGGATCCTCCTCATAAACAAGCCAGGCCTGAGCGAGGCCCACACCTTGACACCCACCCACCCTGTCGGCTCCTCCTCCCCTCCCCCTGCTGGCCTGCGGGTTTCAGGGTGACTCAGTGGACACAGGAAACTGGGTCAGTCCAATGTGCTCCAGGCTAGGCCCGGGACAAGGTCCCTCCCCACAGACGGTGTGGGGAGGCCCCAGGGCGAGACCTGGGGTGTCCTACTGGCCAGTTCCCTCCAGTTCCTGGGTGCGAGATGGGAACTGGCCGCGTGGCAACAAGGGCCTGGGCTAGGAAGTTGGATAGACCGGAGGGGGGGGGAGCGGGGGGCACCTTTAATCATCCACCCGCCTCCCAGGTCTCTCCTGCTCTCTGGGCCCACTCTCTGCCACCTTGCCCATCCCTCGCCTCCAGAAAGGAGTGTCCCCTCTTGTCCAGCCCTGAGAGGGCTCTCCCAGAGCTGCATTTGTAGGATAACTCAACCCTTCTGGGCCTGGCTCCCCGCCAGCTCCCTCCAACCCTCCCTGAGAGCCTCCCTTGCCCCTGAGTGGGGCAAGCCCTTAGCCTCCCCTCCTGGCATCCGTGGCCTTGGCGGGGGCCGGGAAGGAGACAGCTGGCCCGGGGGCTAAGGGCTGCCGAGTCCCTTGTCCCCACCCTCTGTGCCATGCTCACCCTAGCCCCAAGCCCACTCGCGGGGCGGGGGCTGCCTGTCCCTGCTGCCACCTCCCAGACGGCTGGGGCAGCCCCACGGGGTATTTTTAGACAGGGCGGAGGGAGTGGGGTGGAGAGGGGCAGGCAGGAAGGGAGGGGCGGTGGGGCCAGTTCTGTCATGGAAGAGGAATTTGGAGAATGTGGCCCTTCTGGGGAGTTGATGGGGTTGGGGGCCAGGGAGCCTGGATTTGGGGCATAAAAGGTATTGGCCAAGCATCCACCAGCATCTCAGCAAGGCAGGAGAGGCACTGGTGACCCGTGACATGGGGGTGACAGGCTCAAGGACACAGCTATGTGCTCGGTGACATCTTGACACAGGCTGTCAGTGCGGAAGGTGTGGTGGAGACCACCGGGTCCTTCCTGCCTGTTTCACCAGCGAAGGGAAGGGACTTGTCTGGGGTCCGTCCTCATGGCAAGGACCGCTAGGACCGGAGCCCATCCAGAGCTCGGTCAGACGCCCATGGGGACGCAGGCCACCTATGGCAGGCCTCACACGTGAACACTGGTGACTGTCACCAGGAGGATGGAAGCGCCAGGGCTAGGAGTGAGCTAGGAGAGAGCGGCCCGGCTGTCAGGCGGCCTGCCCCTGCCCCACTTTCCCTCCTCCCACTCTGCTGCCCCCTGGCCACAGGGCCCGGAGCGAGCAGCCCCCCGGGAGCAGCCCCCTGGGTCCCGGGCAGCAAGGGAGCACCTGGGACTCCCCGACCCTTCATCTGGCCGGCTTGTGCCCGGCTTGTGCACTTGGGGTGCCCCTTGGGGTCAGTCGGAATGAAGAGGGTCGGGGAGGGAGCAGAGAGCAGTGTCAGTGGGGGGGAAGGGGGAGGCCTGTGGGGTTCCCAGCTTGGGGCGGGGAAGGGAGGGTCTTGGCCCCTCTTCATTTTTCTCTCGCCCTGATCCAGGTCGAAATGAGTTGATTGCACGCTACATTAAATTGAGGACGGGGAAGACGCGGACGAGAAAACAGGTAGGGAGGCGGGACTGCCACATCCCCTCTGTGTACACGCACTCCCCAGGCCGCTCTTCCCGCTGTCCTAGAGAAAGGGGCACTGTCCTCTCTGGCCGGCCGCCACTACCCCGCCTGAGTGACCCTTGAGAAGCCTGCGGGGCAGCCGCTGCAGTGCAAAGTTGCTGCCCTGAGTGGCTCACTGGGCAGTCAGCGGCACAGACGGCTGCGGTGACAGACTAGTGCGGAGCAGGGCAGCGTGGCCAACAGAAGAGCGTGTGCGGTCCGACAATGGTCTGACCTGGACCGGGCAGGGGTGGGGTGGAGGGGCCACCAGGCTTTCTGGAGGAGGTATCACCCAAGCTGCATTTTTAAGAAGGAATTTGGGATTTAGCCAGGTATAAAAAGGGGAAAGGATTCCTCTAGGCTGAGGAAGCTGGATACACATGTAATAATTGTGAACCCATACAGGGCTTATTCTATATTAATGTATTTATTCCTCACAGTAACCTTATGAGGTAGGTATAGTAATTCTCTCCATTTCACAGATGAGAAAACTGAGACATGGGGAAGTTAAGTAACTTCCTCAAGGTCACGTGGCTGGTAGCGGGTGGATCCGGAACGCAACCCACTGGGTGGGAAAGAGCCATCAGTCAGCAGCATGGTGGGTGGAGAGAGGGGTGGGGAGAGCTGAGAATGGTGTGAGGTTGGCTGGAGGCCTGAGGGACAGGTTTCCCCTCCAGGCAGCTGGGTCCAAGGAAGGGACTAGAACAGGGAGTGGCAGGTGGCAGCTGTCAAGGAATGTTGGCCCTGGAGCAGCTGGGGCGGTGGATCTGGGAGGGCCAGGCAGAGGCAGGGACCTCGAGCCGCGGTGATGGTGGCCTGGATAATGGCGATGGTGAGGGTAGTGGTGGCAGCATGGAGAGATGATTGGGTGGCGCCCGGGCCAGGGAGGGCAGCCGTGTGCCGACAGGAGCCCTGAAAGGGAGCTGGTTGGGGTGGGGGGGGTGTGGGGCACGGGGAGAGAGGCAGGCTGGGCGCAGGGACAGTGGGGGCGGGGGATCTGGAAGCGCCTCTGCTCACCTCCCTGGCTGGTGGGGTTTGGACCTCGCACCCACCTCCTCAGATCCCCATGTGCTTGTGACAGAGCCGACCTGTCCCATCCCTTTGTCTCAAAGGAAGGCTCTGAGTCCACCCCCTCAGTGTGGGAGCAGGAACCTCCCTCTCTTAATTTTTTTTTAATGTTTATTTTTGAGAGAGAGAGACAGAGCATGAGTGGGGAGGGGGCAGAGAGAGAGGGAGACACAGAACCAGAAGCAGGCTCCAGGGTCTGAGCTGTCGGCACAGAGCCTGACACGGGACTTGAACTCATGAACTTTGAGACCGTGACCGGAGCAGAAGTTGGACACTTAACCAACTGAGCCAGCCAGGCGCCCCATTCAGGGATTTAGTAACCACTCTCCCTGGGCCAGTTCATACTGTACCACATTTACTCATTCAGCGAATTAGTGAGCTACTACTATGTTCTAGGCATTAGGGATACAGCAGGGAACCAGACAGATAAGGTCCCTGTTCTATCAGAGGCGCTGACTAACCATGGCCCCAGGTTCAGATACCCTCACCACTACCTGCAGGGAAGGGGTGCTTTGCCTCTCAGGCTCTGTTCCACTCCCATTAAATTAGCGAATATGTGAAGACACTTAGAACAGAGTGGGTGCTGTGGAGGAATTGCTGCTGCTATTGCTATTCTGTCTTTATAAGCGGAAAGTCAGGGCTCCTGACTGGCTCATTTGGAGGAGCGTGTCACTCATTCATTTTTGAGAGAGAGAGAGAGAGTGAGAGAGAGAGCGCGAGAGCGCACAAGCAGAGGAAGGGCGGAGAGAGAGGGGACCGAGGATCCCAAGCGGACTTTGTGCTGACAGCAGAGAGCTGGATGCAGGACTCGAGCCCGTGAACCACGAGATCATGACCTGATCTGAAGTCGGACGTTTAACCGCCTGAGCCACTTGGGCGCCCCAGGAGCTTGTGACTCTTGATCTCAGGTCACGACTTTAGGTCCCATGTAGGGTGTAGAGCTTACTGAATTTAAAAAAAAAAAGAGACTAAACAGAAAGTTATCTCAGACACAGGAGAAGGGCACCGTCTCCTGCTTCACGTGAAAGGAATGTTTATAGGAATGTGTTTGTCAGAGCGGGAAGGGGTCAAGGGGCCTTTAAGCTTAGTCGCTTTGACCTGAGATGTCGGGAGGGTAGCAGAGGCTCTCGATTCAGAGGAACATTATACCTGCTCCTGGCCGGGTGGCCCAAGAAGGCTGGCGTGCAATGCCATGTTACAGGCCGGCCGGTGGCAAGCTCGGAATTTAAAAATTCGGCCGTGTTGCAGGGATGGCGGTCCTCTACTTTTATTCTTTCTTAGACCTCTGATGTCTAATATCTCCTTAAAAGAGGATCCATCCTGGAACGCCTGGCCGGCTCAGTTGGAAGAACGTGCGACTCTTGGTCTCAGAGTTATGAGTTGGAGCCCCACGTTGGGCATGGAGATTACGTGAAAAAAATAAAATTTAGGTTGCCTGGGTGGCCCAGTCAGTTGAGCACATGACCCTTGATTTTGGCTGAGGTCATGGGTTCGAGCTCCGTGTCAGGCTCTACGCTGAGCCGGCTTGGAATTCTCTCTCCCCCTCTCTCTGCACGTGCGCACACAAGATAAATAGACTTTATTGTATTTATTTATTTTTTTTATAAGTTTTTAAAATGTTTTATTTATTTCTGAAAGAGAGAGAGGCAGTGTGAGCAGGGGAGGGTCAGAGAGAGAGGGAGACACAGAATCCGAAGCAGGCTCCAGGCTCTGAGCTGTCAGCACAGAACCCGATGTAGGGCTTGAACTCACAAACTGTGAGATCATTTTGACCTGAGCCAAAGTCGGACGCTTAACCGACTGAGCCACCCAGGCGCCCCAGTAAATGGACTTTAAAATAAAATTAAAAAAATGTTAACAAAATAGATGTATGGATGGACAGATAGATAAGACAGACAAGCCAGCCTATGGTTTTGAGGACAAAGCACGTCTTTCTGTGTTGCAGAGAGCAACGAGATGACAGGCAGGGGGTTTTCTTTGGTGGTTTTTATTTTACTTTTGGTTAAAAAATGCAGTTTTAGGGTTTTTACAGATACATACGGCAATTAATAGTAAGTACAATGCCTCCCCGTTGAAAAAACGGCTGACTATCATATTAGGATCAAGTTCCATGTGACTCTCAGCTGTCACCGAGTTGACCGTTTGGCAGTGTCCTCTATGCTGAGGGTCCAAAGAAGCCTGGCACCATAGCTCAGTGGTGGAGCCAGTGGGCTCTGGAGTCAGGCCACCCTGGTTCAAATCCCAGTGCTAGCCCCCGCTGTGTGACCTCAGATAAGCTGCTTCATCTCTCTGTGCTTTGGTTTCATCGTCTGTAACTCGAGGGATAATGCGAATACTGACTTCTCAGCGTCGTTGTGAAGGTCAGAGGAGGGGCGTGTAAAAGGCTGAGAGCAATAATCGCGGTGTCCGGTAAACATCACTTATTTTCATTGTCGTGATATGAAGTGATCGGTAATCTTGCCAGACACGTGTCTGGTTCCTGTGCCCAGTGAGACAGTATGAGGAGCACCCAGCCTGGGTCCTAACCCAGTAGCAGGGGGCGGCCTGGCATCACTGACATAGTAACTTGCGGTATATGATTAAAAAGAAATAGAAACCGTTTCTTTGGGGGGATGAAAACAACTTGCAGAGAAAGCCGGCAGCCATTGCTGCTAAGGCCTGCGTGAAGCCACCTGGAAGGATCCATGTGTCCCCTTGTGTTTTGTGGGGAAGCAGTGACATTTAGGTTCTCTCAGGCTTAGGGGCAGACCCTTGGAAATACGCTGGAGAAGAGATGCTATTAAGGGCACCTACTGTGTACAGACATATTTGTCCAAGGAGAAGGAAGGCGTGCTGGGGGAGGAAGCTGAATGAGCGGGGCAGGAGCGGGGTCAGGCTGGTTCTCGAGGCTGGCAAGCTGTTGGGGTTGACACGGGACTTCGGCGGGGGTACAGGGGAGATCTCTCATAGAGGATGTGGCCTCGATGTATAATCTGATGGCCAGGAGGAGCATTACGGCCATTGGTGATGCCAGTCAGAAACAAGTCTCAGGGCACCTGGCTGGTTCAGTCGGTAGAGCATGTGACTTAATCTCAGTCAGGTCATGAGTTCAAGCCCCACACTGAGTGTTGAGATTACTTACATACATATATATATATATACATACATACATACATACATACACACACATATACATACATACACACATATACGTACACAAATACATATGTATGTATACATATATACATACATCTATTTTAAAAAGAGAGAGAGAGGGGCACCTGAGGGGCTCAGTCAGTTAAGCATCTGACTTTGACTCAGGTCATGATCTCACAGTTCGTGAGTTCAAGCCCTACATCAATAGGGCTCTGTGCTGACAGTGCAGAGCTGCTTTGGATCCTCTGTCTCCCTCTCTCCCTGCCCCTCCCCTGCTGTCTTCCACTCTCCCTCAAAAACAAATAAACATTTAAAAAAAAAGAAAGAGAAAAAGTGTCTCCTCTGAGGATATCAGAGAGAAAAAGTCACCCTGTTTTGGAAAAGATACTGGGTTAGAGGCAGCCCTGCTCCAGGGCACATAACTTGAGCAACAGATCTTGGGCTGCATTTTAGTCCTTGCTGATTGATTGATTGATCGATTGATTATTCATTTATTTTAAAAGTTTTAAAAAATTTTTTAAATTTATTTTTTGAGAGAGAGAGAGAGAGAGAGAGAGAGAGAGAGCATGAATGGGGGAGGGGCAAAGGAGAGGGAGACAGAATCAGAAGCAGGCTCCAGGCTCCAAGCTGTCAGCACACATCTGGCCTGATGTGGGGCTTGAACCTACAACTGTGAGATCATGGCCTGAGCCGAAGTCGGACACTTAACTGACTGAGCCACCCAGGCGCCCCGAATCCTTGCTGATTTAGGTCCTCTTGTGCAGTGAACAACCTATACAACTGTACATGGTGGTCCTGGAGGCTACCATAGGCTCTTAATCAAAACAGGGCCAAGAAGAGAGCAAAGAACTGGCAGGGCTCAGGGCCCCAGGGGCCCTGTCTGCTCACAAAGGCCCCATAGCCCCCCCAACTTCCATTTGGTCCCAGAGACAGGGCTGGGATGCTCCTTGCCCACAGCTGTCCCTGCCGTGCCTCCTCACTCTCTGTGTTTTCCTCTCTGGCGGGGCGCGGGGCGGCCCCTAGGTGTCCAGCCACATACAGGTTCTAGCTCGGAAGAAGGTGCGGGAATACCAGGTTGGCATCAAGGTATGTTGGGCGCCTGACCAGGGCCTCCAGTCCCTCCTCGGCGCCTCCACCGCTATCTCTGCACAGCTCAGGCCTCTGCCTCAGCCGGCCCTCTGGCCCCACTGTGCCTCCTTTCTGGCTGAAGCTCTGTTCTTGCCTCTTCTTCTGCCCTTTCTGCTCTTTTTCTCTCTTTTCTTTCTCTTTCTACAGGTCTCTAGCCACTTGCAGGTTCTAGCCAGGCGGAAATCTCGAGAGATTCAGTCCAAGCTGAAGGTAGGGCGTCCCCCGCCTCTTGGCCTGGCCCTGCTGTTTTCTGAGCCCAGCCCAGGGCAGACGACAGGTGGCTGAAGAGTATGGATGGGTGGAGGGTGTCTCAGAAACACCAGCAGCAGCATGAAGTCTAAAGGCCTCTTCAGGCTGCAGAGGGCCACAGCCCTGGAAACTAGGCAGAAGCCCAGGGGGACAGCCAGCCCTACAACGAGGGAGAGAGAGACCATCTGGGGGCCACTGAGGCCCACCACTCTTCTTCATTTTCCTTTTTCTCCTTCCTCCTGATTGCTGCTTGTTAATTGCATGGGGTCTTCGGTGGGCGGGGGAGACGGGTGGGGTGGGGGGCATCAGCTGGCAGAGCTGTTGTGCTGGGCATGGCTGTTACTTGCATTGGACGCTCAGTGCTGACAGCCCTACAGCCCAGGATCCCAGAGCATAGGGCTTTGGGCCCCTGTAGGCTTCTCCCTGCTTCATAGCCCCCAACAGGCTGAGCCTGTCACTCTAGGCCCCGTGCCCATATCACAGTTCCAGAGGACTTGGGCAGCCCCCAGGGGCACCAGCTTGGTCCACCCTCTAGGTCTCCAGCGTGTCCTCTCCAGGGCACGCCCAGCTAGCAAGCTCTTGTTCTGGGTAGCAGTGGGGTGGGGTGAGGGTCCACAGTGGCCCCCGAGCCCCCTTGGTTCCTCAGACCCGAGAGGCAGGTGAGAGGGTGAGGAGACACGTCCCCACCCTGCATCGCCCTCATGTGCGCCTCTTCTAATCCACCTCCCTCTCTTTCACAGGCCATGAACCTGGTAAGTAGCCTGCCCCTCCCTAGGGCGGGGGGTGGGGTAGAATCGGGGGGGGGAGCACCTAATACAGGATTTTCAAATGATGAATTGTGCCACCAGCTTACTAGGTTTGCACCCAGCATGTTTTGGAAACGAACACTTGTAGTGGTTCTCAGACTTCAGCACGCAGCAGACTCATCTGGAGGGCTGGTCGAAGACAGACTTCCGGGCTTCACCCTCAGAGTCTCTGATTCAGTGGGTCTGGGCCGGGGCCTGAGAATTTGCATTTCTAACAAGCTTCCAGGTGATGCTGGTGCTGTTGGTCCACAGACCACACTTTGAGAACCGCTGGTGAAAGAATAGAAAATACGAGTGCGTGACACACAGCATAAGGGGAAGTGTTTGGGTATACACTGGGTTACAGAACAAAATAAAATCATTTCCCCTCAAGGATTGTGCTCAGAGGGGTGGTACATACTTAGGAGACAGGCCCAGGTCGGGGCTGGGACTCCCCTGAGCACCCATAGCTGAGCCCCGAGGGCCGGGGAGGGGCCCCGAGACAACCCCCAACCCTGTCTCTGGCCTGGCCCAGCCTCACACTGCCTCTCCCCTCCCAGGACCAGGTCTCCAAGGACAAAGCCCTCCAGAGCATGGCATCCATGTCATCCGCCCAGATCGTCTCAGCCAGTGTCCTCCAGAACAAGTTCAGCCCTCCCTCCCCTCTGCCCCAGGCCGTCTTCTCCACTTCCTCCCGGGTACAGGGGGCCCTCCCGGGCTGGGGCTGAGGTGAGGGCGTGCCTTTGGGGCGGGGCCGTGGTGGGGGTCGTGGATGCTGAGGGGCCCCTGGGTTTTGTCCCATCTCTGCAGTTCTGGAGCAGCCCCCCTCTCCTGGGACAGCAGCCTGGACCCTCTCAGGAGTGAGTATTGTGGCACATTCTTCCCACACCCTCGTCCCTGGCGGCCACGTGGGACTTCCCCTCTGATCCGGGTTCCAGCAGCAGCGGAGCAAAGTTTTAATGCAAAACTAGAGGCTGGAGAGCGCCAGCAAGAGAGCAGTGCATCTGTCTGCTCATTCCTGTGTGTGTGCACTCATCATCCACCCCCTCCCCCGCCTGTCGCCTGCCCTTCAGTTCTTTCTCATTCACTTGCTCTCCCGGTTGGTCCCCAGGTCAGCATGTTGGGTAGTCGAGTGAGCTTGGTTCCCTCAATTCTAAGAGGACTTTCAGCCTCAGACACACCCTCAGTGTAACAAGCAGCTCTCAGGGTGAGGTCGAAGGGCTACATTAAATGTGCACATCAGCTGTCAGATGCAGCAGGATTTTGTGAACACTAAAATGTGGAGAAAACAAAAAGCTGGTGAGTTAGCTTGTCAGTGTGCATTTCTGGGCCTTTGCATAAAGGCCGGGTGGCTCCCTATTGAGACCAGATGAGACTCCAAGTGACTGGACCAGGTGGAAGGTGGGGTTCAGGGGTGACCCTCTAACCAGGCTGTGCTCCTGTCTGCAGCATCAAGCCCTTTGCACAACCAGCCTACCCCATCCAGCCGCCCCTGCCGCCAACGCTCAGCAGTAAGTGCCCCACGCCAGACTGCCGCAGAGTCCCCTCCGCCCCTGGGCACCTGCCCGTCTGCTGAGGAGAGTGGGGCCGGGGCTGTGCATGTGTTTGCGCTGGGAGGGAGGAGGGGGTGGTGTCTATAGGGGATTGGGGCAGGTGGGGAAGAGGCCCCTTACCTTCTACAGTGTAGCTTCCAGAACTCTGCTACTAGTACACAGCAGAGTTCTAGTAGTACACTAGTACCAGCAAAAATACTACATGTATATGAGTGTGTGTTTATAAAATTCTTGTGTGGAAATACACCAAAATCTTAACAGAATTTCACTCTCTAGGTGTTGGGGTTCTGGGTAGTTTTTACTACCCCCCCTTTTTTTTAAAAAAGTATTCATTTATCTCCACATCCTACGTGGGGCTCAAACCCATGACCTCGAGATCAAGAGTCACATGCTCTTCTGAGCCCCTTATTACTTGCCTATATTTTCTGTTTGAACACACATTAATAGTGATATAAAACTCCCACTGATGTGTACTCCTGGGCCACTGCCAACAGTTGTGCAGGTCGTACACTGTGCAAGAAGCCGTGGCAGGGGACTCAAAATCCAACCCGGGTTCCTACCCGAAAGGGATGCCATTTTCCAGTTTGCACAGCACTCTGTGCAGCCGGGGGCAGCTCTGTGTGTAGCCATGCACACACAGCCATGCAGATGAGGGTCCGTCTCGCCCTCCCAGGTTACGAGCCCCTGACCCCGCTCCCCCCAGCTGCTGCCTCTGTGCCCGTGTGGCAGGACCGCACCATCGCTTCCTCCCGGCTGCGGCTCCTCGAGTACTCTGCCTTCATGGAGGTGCAGCGAGACCCCGACACGGTAATGTGGCTGGGGGTGGGGGTGGGGGGTAGTGCAGTCGTGGTCCGGGGTCCCAGCTCAGGACCCGGGGCAGGGAAGCCACGGGGCGCCCCGGTGCCGTGCGGCTCTCAGGCCTGCACACTCGAGTACCCCCTGACCCAGTGCTGGGCCCTCCCCACAGTACAGCAAACACCTATTTGTGCACATCGGCCAGACGAACCCTGCCTTTTCGGACCCGCCTCTGGAGGCCGTCGACGTGCGTCAGATCTATGACAAGTTCCCAGAGAAGAAGGGGGGACTGAAGGAACTCTATGAGAAAGGGCCCCCTAATGCCTTCTTCCTTGTCAAGTTCTGGGTGAGCCCCCCTCTCTGCTCCCGACCACTCCCTCCCCCCAGATGTGCAGTGCCCCTGGGTCTCCCCCGCCCATTGACCCCTGCCCTCTCTCCCTGTGGCCTGTGGGCAGACCGCTGGGGACGGGTCCTTGGGGGAAACGCCGCTGTGGCCCGCCCGGAAGCCTCCGCCTGGCCTCCGCCCCAACCGGACACCACGCTTGCCTCCCCCCCATCTAGGCCGACCTCAACAGCACCATCCAGGAGGGCCCGGGAGCCTTCTATGGGGTCAGCTCCCAGTACAGCTCGGCCGACAGCATGACCATCAGCGTCTCCACCAAGGTGTGCTCCTTTGGCAAGCAAGTGGTGGAGAAGGTGGAGGTGAGTGAGGGCCTGGGGCGGCACGGTGGGGCCGGGGGCAGACGCGCTGGGTGACGCCCCCACCGCTGGCCTCCCGCAGACGGAGTACGCCAGGCTGGAGAACGGGCGTTTCGTGTACCGCATCCACCGCTCCCCCATGTGCGAGTACATGATCAACTTCATCCACAAGCTGAAGCACATGCCGGAGAAGTACATGATGAACAGCGTCCTGGAGAACTTCACCATCCTGCAGGTGGGGGGGGGGGGCGGGGGACTGTAGGGGGGGGGGGGAACACAGGGGCCTCAAAGCGGGGGTAGCCAGACCCATCGCTCAGGCGAGGAGACTGCTATCCAGAAGGGAGGTCTCCTCGGCCCCTATGCCCTGGGGCCCTATGCCTCCTGACCCCTTGAATCCTCCTGCCTGGCCCCCAGGTGGTCACGAGCCGGGACTCCCAGGAGACCCTGCTTGTCATTGCTTTCGTCTTCGAAGTCTCCACCAGCGAGCACGGGGCCCAGCACCATGTCTACAAGCTCGTCAAAGACTAGGCTGCCCTCTGCCCCCCCACCCCACCAGGATCCAGGACAAGCATCTGTTCCACACACCTGCCTGGCCCCCCCCCTGGAAGTCTGGGATTGAGGACTCCCCGCCTGCCAGGCCTCAGGCCCAGGACCCAGGAGGCCTCCCCACCCACCCCCAGCACACACGCCTCCTGCCACTGTTCTGCGCTTTAATTGTGGGAGGGGAGAGGGGGGCTCAGTGGTGGGGCAGCCCACCTGTGATGCTGAACTTCGCACAGCTCTGCCCGGCCTCCGGTGAATGGGAGGACCCCTCTGGGCTCAGGCACGTGTGGCCGGCAGGGGAGGGTGGGACGGAGACCGAGGGAGTCAGACTGCAGAGGCCCCAGGAAGGAGAGTGTCGAGTAGGGGTTAAAGTTGAGAAGAGAGAGGGCCCCACGCTTTCTTGCACCTGCTGTGTGCCAGGCCCGGTGCTAGGCCCATGCGTACCCAGTGCCATTCTCAGACTGTGTGAGGCGAGCGTGGGTCGTGGGTCTCGGTGTCTCATGATGTGCTGAGACTTAAACTTGAGCCACCCGAGCAGGGTGGGAGCAGAGTTGGAATTCTCCCCCGGGGCTGCCTGTCCCCAGAACCCAGGTTTACACTACCTCCCTGGAGGGGGTGGGAAAGAGGGTCTGTACTGGGGGCTGGGGCCAGCCAGGTTGGGAGCCCCCTCCCAGGGAGCAGCTGCTTCTGGCCAGAAAGGAAAAGAGGAGCAGCGGGTACTTGGCACCTGTTAGGTGCCCTCTGTAGGTCCCTGTGCTGACCTCCCCCAAGCTGCCGTGGCCCAGGTCCAGTGCCTGAGCCCAGGTCCAGCTGCCTGAAGTCGGCAGCTTCCTGATGGGAGAAGGCCCCCCGGGGGCAGTCTCCAAAATAGCTTGGAGGGTCAGGTAGGAAGATGGGAGTCCCAGCCTCTGGGCAGACCGGTGTCCCGGGGACAAAGGGTAGCAGAAAGGCTTTGGTATTTTCTAAAGCCCAAGACTTGGGTTTGGTGAACCCTCGGTGGGCGGCACTCCCTTATGTTTTTCTCCATCTCAGTCTCCCAGGCCTGGGACAGCAGCCCCCCAGAATCAGTTCTGGGACCGAAGGTTAACCCTTCCCCTGCTGGCCCTTCCCAACACCCAGGCCCCTCCGCCAGCTTGGCCTGTCTACCAGCCGCCTCTGGGCATCCATGAGTTTCATATGAAGTACTGTGCCCCTTCCCTTCCTTACACCGCCCGCCCGAGCTTCCTGAAGGTCCTCACAATTTGCATATCGCTCAGGCCACTTCCAAACCCAACCTAGGTTTTATAATGTATATTATATTTTTTTGTGTATTTTTTAAATCCAGCTGTGATGGGTTATATCATAAACGTGGGGTGGGGGCAGGGGCCCTCAAGGCCCAGCCACTGTTTCCCCCCCCCCGCCAAAAAAAAATTAAAGTTATTTGTGGGTTGGTTTGTGACCAGTGTGTGCTAGACTTCTCTGGGTTGGATAAGCTTCCAGTGGGTGCTCCTGCTGGGTTAGCTCCTGCTGGGTCACCCTACCCTACTCCGTCTCTGCTGGGGGGCCCCCAAGCCAAGGTCCCGTGAAAGTTTTGCAGACTCCCTTTCTCCCCGCCTCCTCCTGCCAGGAGTCGAGTGCTGAAATGTGCCCCGTGCTGGCCTAGGTTCTGCTGTTGCTTTGTCTCTTTGAAGTGACCTGCCCAAGGTCACACAACTGCTGAGATGGGCCCCCTGCTAAATCCCCAGTCTTCGCGGTGGCCACCGCTGGTTCTCTGTCCTGTCCTCACTTTACACCAGAGGCTTCTCAGGGAGGAGCAGTGCTCTCCCAAGTGGATGGCTGCTAGCAGGGGAAGCCAGATTCCAACCCGTTCTCGTCTGCCTGGGAAAGCCCTGCTCTCCCCGCTGAACCATCTTGTGCTCATACAGCAGGGACCAGAGCGGGGATGGTGAGGAGATGGTATCCTCAATGGATATGCACTGTTTATCTGAAATTCAGATTTAAATAAGCATCCTGTATTTTCATGTGCTCAATCTGGCGACCCTGCTCTAGAGTCTTATCTTCTAGATCCATTCTGTTCCAACCTCCAAATTTGCAGATGGGGAAACACTGAAGTTAAGTGCTCTCTCCACTTAGCCAGTCAGGGGCAACACCGAGATTTGAATGTGGTCGGCCTGACTCCAAGACCATGCACCTGGTAGACTATTTAAATAATCTGGTAGCTTTTTGTCTTAGTCCATAGCATTGGCCGGCCGGCCCAGACAGTCACTTGCAGGATGGGGAGGGTGCCTGGAGCCCCAGCCAGGTGGTTGAGGATCCTAGAGTCAGAAATTGGTTTATGAAGGGGGCGCCTGGGTGGCTCAGTCAGTAAAGCATCCGACTTTGGCTCAGGTCATCATCTCACGGTTCGTGGGTTCGAGCCCTGCTTCAGGCTCTGTGCTGACCGCTAGCTCAGAGCCTGTCTTCAGATTCTGTGTCTCCCTCTCTCTCTGACCCTCCCCTGCTCACGCTGCCTCTTTCTCTCTCAAAAATAAAACATAAAAAAACATAAAAATAAAAATTGGTTTATGAAGGACCCACCATGTGCCCTGCCGAGGACTGGATGCAAAAGCCTATCTCTGGGCTTAATAGGTCATTCTATCTATTGGATGCTTGAGGCATCATCACCTGTGTTGCTGCCTTCCCTCTCCCAGAGTAAACAGCCTCGGGGTGACTTAAAATCATGTAGGTCTCCTGCAGAAAGTTCGAGAGAGATACGGCTAGACTCCTTGCCTGTCTCCCCTGCCCCGCCATCTCCCCATCTCCTTGCCCCCACATGCAAATGTAACAGATCTAGAGGTCCCTAAGTAAGGCAGGAATCAGATAAGGGGAGTCTTGTGAGCCTGAAGCCCAGGACTCTCTCCTGGGAGTGGCTCTTACCTGCTCAGGGTCCTGTGTGAAACCGTAAAGGGCCAGGATGGCTGGCCCTCAGACTGGGACCTGGGACCGTAATTCTGCCTTTCCTGCCCGTTTCTGTTCTGATGTTCCTAAGGGAGGAATGCCATCTTTTGTCAATTCCACAGTCAAGACCTAGGAGCCACTCTGAGGTTTCTTAGGGGCTCTTTATTCCCCTGTAGCCCTAATGCTGGAGAACTGGGGCTCCCCAGATAGCTGAACCCTGAATTCTCAGGTGCACACTAAGCTTTACACTGATCATCCCAGAGGCTGGAATTTGATGAGAAGAGCTCAACTTTCTTTCACAACGGAAGCTGTCTGACTCCACACCTGCTTTCCATTTGCTTTCCCTTCTGCTGCCTGCTCTTTATTGTGCCATGGGCCTCTTGAGAGCAGGCCCCATGGCTCTAAACAGGTTCCCCACTGCCCAGTAGTGGGTCAACATTTGTTTAGTATGTTGGTTTTTACAGATTCCTACCCCAATAAGGCTTATCAAATGGGTTTGATTTAAATCCAGGTGATTCAGATCAACCCAGGAAGGATCAAGTCCCTAAGCATTTCTAAAATACCCATTTGCCTTTCCCTAGTTTCCAAACTTCCAAAAAATTTCTTAATCCTTGGCTCATTTCAAAAAGGATGGTGTGGCTACCTCTGAAGCCACCTTGTTCTTCCCGTTTGTCAGCATCTAAATCCAACGGAGCTAGATAAGCAGATTTTACGCACTAGGTCTGGAACCTTTATGTAGGTAGCTGCACGTGATCGCCATTTAACAACTGCCGTTTTATACTAAGTGCCTGGCCCCGTGCAAAGCATGTCATGCTTTTAAGTGGGCACCCCTGCCTTTTAGGCTGGTACATCGTCTGCAACGTCAGATGAGAAATCACTTAAAGAGAACAGACTTGCTCAAGCTCACATGCCTCCTGGTTGGTAGACCTGGGACTGGAACTCAGGTGACCTGAGAAGGGAGGGGAGGGGAGCGGGCTCTGCCCACAGGCAATCACATAGCTGGTCTCCTTATGCCCAACTAATGGTTGAACGCACGGGCTGCCTCTAAAACCCTCGGACATTGCTTACGCCCGGGCCACTGCTGGCAGGTACAGAAAGGTCCCTCTGGTCTTAGGCTCTGGGGTGGTTTGCAGTTCTTAGAAGCCCTGCCCACCGGGGCCCTTGGGACTGACCACTAGAGACGCAGCTGGGACCCATCTTGGCCAACTCCAGGCAGGACTTGTTTTATGCCTCTGCCTTTTGGGTTGCTGTATTCAGTGCCTGACACACAGCAGTGTGAGGCCCAGTGTGGAGATGTACTTACACTTTTTTTTTTTTAAATTTATTTCTAGGAGAGAGAGAGAGAAGAGACAGCGTGAGCAGGGGAGGGTCAGAGAGAGAGGGAGTCACAGACTGAAACAGGCTCCAGGCTCTGAGCTGGCAGTCAGCACCGAGCCCGACGCGGGGCTCGAACCCACGAACCGCGAGATCATAACCTAAGCAGAAGTCAGACACTTAACCGACTAAGCCACCCAGGCACCCCAATGTACTTACACTTGTAATTTTCAATCACATTCCTCTAGTCATCAAAGTATCAAACTTTCTCACCGTTAGTATTGCCTTTTTTCTTCTGGTCACAAAGATTACTGAACTCCAGGAAATCTGATAACCATTTTACTTCCGGAATTAAACATGGCATAACACTGTTAGGTAAACTTTTAATCACCTTTACCATGCATAGGCAGGTCACAGCTAGTTCATTACACCAGCTCTTTTCTCGCCTCACCTATAGAGAACAGACATGCCTAGAGTATTTTATCACTCCTAATACTATAGTAACAGACCAGAGTAAGGAGCAATCTAGGCCTGTTAACCTTGAGAACCCATATTCGGGGCTCATCACAAGACCAGACCACAGCTATTTTACCTGTAAGCAAAGCTACTTAACAGTTACTAACTTAAATGCTCAAAAAAACCTAAGATCTTTGGTGAAAACCTTCTATTGTTCATGGTACAAGTTTGTTTCAAGAAGGCATTTTAATTTATGCTTTGGATTAGCCTTTCAGCTGTATTAAGAGATGGAGGGATGAACCTACTTAACAAAGTTACCTGAAGCAGGTTCAAGGCTAATGTTAAATCATAGGTGTTTCCCATACCAAAAACCAACATTCCTGGACTGGGTGCTGGAGGCAATTACAGGGAACTGCCTACTTTGGGTCAGGTGGCAGCAGTCTACCCAGTACAAAGGGCCTGAAAGTTTACAGAGCCTGATTCTACCCAATAAATTACTACCCCTGAATATACAGTATTCAACTTGGGGTCATACAAGCAAATACTAGATAGATCAGGGTTACAGACCAGAATCCAGGAAATCTAATCCCCACTAGTAACATTCCTTGTGATCCCTATAGACTGAGCCTAAACACACCATTTAGAGGAATTAAACAAAAAGCCCACAAAAAGAAACCAATGGTGTAAAAGGGAAGGAACTTCAGGCCACAGGTTGAGCTCGCTACCAAGGACAGAGTGATTGTCCTCCATGTGAAGGTCCTAACCAGAATCACTGCAGGCTGGAATCCTAACCCAGGTCTGCCCCTCTCGGTACAGAAAAGCTCTAGTCCTGGTTAGGAGCCCTACTGTCACAGGTTGTTAAGTATCCAAGTGATCTACCGACTAAGACTCCACGGTTTTGAAGGTAGACAGAATGCACTTCCTGGTGGGCAGTATGGAGAACTGACTGGTCATCACTGGGTGCCAGGAGCTGAAACATTAGAACGGCGCTCTGGCGTAATGTCAGCTCACAGAGCACCCCCCTCCCCTAGTCATAGGCAGACAGGTAGTGGTAGGTAGCACTAGGGTTTATTAAGCTGTGCCTTAGTACAGGCGCTGGGGCTTGCCCATGGTGCTCTTGATGTATAAAGCCCGGACATTCTGCCAATTCTTCTTGAGCAGTGACACCAGGAAGTTGACAGCTAAGTGGATGTTGTACACAAGCTCATCATCTGTCATCTTCACGTGGCCAACAGCCACTGCCAGACACAGCACCTGTGTAAAGAGTAAAGTCAATCAGGTTGGTGGCTAGAGCAACAGAGGAAGAGTAGGCACAGCTACAAGCCAGATGGTCTGATTTGCCCTCCAGTCACTAACAGCCTGACCCCAGGCCAGGAAGACCCGGGGCTATGTGAGAAAAGTTTCAACCCTGCTCAGTGACTGTCACATGCCCGAAGTATTCGCAGAAAAGCAAACCAGGGCTCCCATTTAGAGAATTCAGAGTTCAGATAAAACAAATGAAAACTTATTAGAGGACTTCGGGACTGGTGGTGCCACCCTCACCAGGGCATAACCTACCGCAGCCCAACCAGACCTCCTTACCTTCTTCATCTGGAATTTAATCGTGGACTTCACTTCATCCACTTTGGCCACCATGTTCTCATTGTGGGTCAGCAAGGAAGGGAACTTGCCAGCCTTATTCAGGCCAGGGCCCAGGATTCGTGGGATCTGCTTGATCAGAGATTCGGAAGCCAAAAAGGCATCATACTTCTTGGCTGGTAAAGAGAAGAAATTGGATGCTTAGGATCTGGCCCCTGAAGGCAATGGCCAACCAGGGCTCTGTCAACCAACCACAGAAGTGGCCTCTTACCACCCCCTCTAGCCCTCTCCATATATACCAAGTCTTTTTAATCCTTTCACTCAACTTTCTATCCTGTTGGGACTTTTACTGCTCCAACATTCACATGAAACCTGGTCAGAAGCCGAGGCTGACCCATTATGTTCCAATAGAAAAAATGCACATGCTCGTTAAGAACCAGTTCAAATCCTGCCTTCCGCCTTTCTAGTTACACGGGAAGTACAGCATCGATTTCCTATGTGTAAAATGCTTACACCACATTGGATAAAGATGAAAAAGAAATCAGAGCTTTAGATAGAAATCCCTATTCAAAACATATCAGCACCTACTAGTCACTTGGGGGAGCTCACCCAATTAGAAAGAATCCTCAAAACAAATATAAAATATAGAGTTCAAGCCCCACATCAGGCTCTGCTGTGAGCAGAGCTCATTTTGGATCTTCCCTCTTTCTGGGCTTCCCCTATGCTCCGTTTGCTCTCAAAACTAAACATTATAAAAAACAAATGGAAATACCACTTTAGGAACACAAAACCCCACCAAAGCTCACTCACCCAGCTTCTTCACTAGTTTTTTATTCTTGTTGAGTTTCTTCAGTGCCTCAATGTCCATGTGGGGAATATCCACAGCCTTGGCTTCGTCACAGTGCTGCTGGTCCCCCAGGACACATACGGAGAACTTGGGGCGGGGAGTGGACTTAAGCCTGCGTTTTGGGGGACAGAACAGGTCAAACCCAGCCTGGGCGTCCAAGGGCAGGTGAAGGGGTCTGGGATCGCTGCAGCCACGGAGCCTTACCCAGAAGGTCCACATTCACCAACAGCTAGTCTGGCTTCTCAAACTAGCCGGCGGGTTCGGCCAAGGCCTCCCCACGCCTCCCCTCTTATTTTAAGACCCAGGGTAAGGGTCCGTCCAGCCACGCCTGCCCGGAGCAGGGGGTCTGAACTACCCAAGCGTGTCAGTGCCGCACTTGCCCGCCGCCTCAAGCTCAATCGGGAGCCCGAAGGCAAGCGACGGACACGGGGACACGGAGGGCTGGGTGGGATCAGAACGGTGCCAACCTGACGGTGCCCGAGAAGCGTTTGTCCTTCTGAGGGTCATAGTTCTTCAAACTGATCTGCAGCTCCACGGTCTCCAAAAACCTTAGAAAAGGAAACCGAGTTAGCCAGCCGCCCGCGACTGCCAAAGCCACCGCGCTCCGGGCCTGCCCTCCCCGCGGCCACGCGCGCTTACTTCCTGCGCTTGCGCTGGTTCCCGTGCAGGACTTCCCGCACCGCCTCGTACAGGGTGTCGCGGGAGACTTTGCTGCTGCAAGAGAGAGAAGCAAAACAGGCGCTCAGGACCCGGGAGGCGCCTTTCAACGCCCTCGGCGTAGCCCAAAGCCTCCGGGGTCGAGTTGGGGGGGGAATGGTTCACGACGTACGCCCAGGGGATTTCGGACACCAAATCGGGAGCTTTGGGTGCGATAAAGATGGAAGCCGGGGAGAAGAGCTACCCTCCTAGCGGCCGGGCCGGGCGCGCGAAATCGAACGCCAGGCCTGCAGGGCGGCATCCGGCAAGACATGCCCCTCAGCGAAGCGGAGGCAAAGATCCCCCCCGATGCAGCCCGCAAGTTCCTCAACACCAGGGTACCAAGGTGGCGCGGATGAGCGTGGATGGCTCCTTAAGTGCCACTCACCTCATGGTGCCTCACAACGCAAAAGCAGGAAAAGAGAGCAATTTGGCTCGCGCATGCGCTCAAATAAGGCTCCTGGTCTCGCGAGATGCAGCTTTCCTCCTCAAGCGCAGCGGCCGAGACTCGCAATCCCGGGGAGCGCTGCCGTCTGCGGCCGCTGGAGGGCGCTGCCGCGCGCTGCACAGCTAGACTGGCTCGAACACCGAGAGATTCCGCGGTCCTGGGCGCCCCGTGGCCCCCGAAAAATATTCTCGTTCGTGCCAGCTACTGCCAGACCCTTAAGAGGCTGGTACTGGGCACCGCACCGTACTGGCCGCTGAGAGCGTGCAGTTGCCCCGCGTTTGTCCCTCCGGCTTTTTCTGCCCTCTTCCTCCTGCCGTCAGCACCTGCTTCAGGTCTCAAAAGCAGGCTTTGCCCCTGACCTCTCCCTCACCATCTTGCTCTGGGGCTCAGGGCTTCAGAGGACGTTGTTGAGAAGGGAAATGTCACGAAATTTCAGTTCCTGGCCCCTCAAAGCCTGCGGTGGGGCAGAGCTGCGAAGGGGCTGTAATGAACTTTCACTTGATAGCTGTTTCAATGTCATCAGAACATTGACTATGGACAGGTGCCTCCTTAGCTACTAGGACAAACGCGCCCAGCATTGCACACCCCCTTCTACCCTTTCCTCTGTCCAACCGGCCCCCATCCTCTTCTCTGCCCACAGAAACCCCAGGAGCCCTACAGACTCTTCAAAAGCCTTCTCCACCTCCAGACGGAGCTGCCCCCACCTTCACGGCCCCATTCTCCGGTGCCCTTCACCTTCTCGACAGACAGCTCTTCATAGGGCTGAGGTGAGTGGCATCACACCTTATCGCACAGAACGTGAATCAATGAACTTGAGAACTCTGTCACCTTCCCCTCACAGAATATTTCACCAGAAGGATGCCCCTTGTCACTGAGTAGGTGGGTGGCTGCGGGGCGTGTTAGTTTCCAACAAACACCCAGAGTCAATAGGAAGGCAGACACTGCTTCAAATAAGACAGTAAACTTCCTGCTTCTGATGAAATACCCGCTTTTTAATAAATTATTATCCAAGTCAGAAAGAACACAGAGAGTCGTAACATACACTTGAGTGTAAGATATGTGTGCTGAGCACACAGGGCACGCCAGGGCTCCTGAAACATCATTCATCTATTCTGGGTCTGCTTTGACCCTACTGAGGCCTATCAGAAAGTTTCTGTCCCTGCAGCCTGAAGTAAAAGCGACAAGGAGTGAGCCCATCCAACCCCTCGAGCCCAGGACCCTGCCTGCTGGCTGGAAGGCCAAGATGGCCTCTCTGTATCCCAGAGCAGTGATGGCCAGGCTCAGCCTTTTCCCCCAGGCAAGGGGTCTGGGAGAGGTTCTGAGGGCAGAAACGTCCTTCAGGAAGCTGGTGAGGGAGCCTCAGGAATACAGTCCCTTGGTGGATGGTCAGGGAGCCAGACGTCTCAGGGCAGCTTGCAGGGACTTCCTTAGGAAAGTGGTATTGAGCTCTAGCGCTGTGGCCAGGCCCAGCCTCTGGATCTCAGTGATCTGGGGAGAAGGAGGAATCATGATCAGGACTCCAGCAGCTGATCTCTTCCCCCTCTGCCCCCTGGCACTGTTTACGAAGGAGAAAGGAATCTAGCACACAAGACAATGGAGGAGATATCTAAACCCACTTAAGCAAGGTCTTCGGGTTCCAGTGGACCAGGGGTCAAATGTTAACTGAACAGCTTACTAAGTCAGCCACATGTTAAAAAAAAAAAAAAAAAAGAAAGAAAGAAAGAAAGAAAAATGTTTAGGGGCGCCTGGGCGGCTCAGTCGATTAAGCGTCCGACTTCAGCTCAGGTCATGATCTCGCGGTTTGTGAGTTCAAGCCCCACGTCAGGCTCTGTCCTGACAGCTTGAGCGTGGAGCCTCCTTCTGATTCTGTGTCTCCCTCTCTCTCTGCCCCTCCCCTGCTTGCACTCTGTCACTCTCTCTCAAAAATAAATAAAAACATTTAAAAAAAGTTTTTTTAAAAGGTTTATGTATTTATTTTTGAGTGTGTGTGTGCATATGCACTCGAGCAGGGAAGGGGCAAAGAGAGGGAGACAGGAGACAGAAAAAATCTGACAGTACAGAACCTGATGCGGGGCTCGAACTCAGGAACTGAGATCATGACCTGAGCCGAAATCAAGAGTCAGGTGCTTAGATGAGTGAGCAACCCAGGCAGCCGCCTAAGTCAGCCACGTTAATAACAGTTGACACTTTTTGGGTGCTTTCTGTGTTGGAATGCTTTATAACCATGACTTCATAAAATCTGTATAACCCTCCTATTTTACAAAAGAGAAAACTGAGGGTCAGAGATACTCCAGTGTGGCCGCCACATTCCTCCTGGGCTATTTCTTCCCTGACCTGTTGCTACAACTTCCTGACAGGTCTCTGGCCTGTCTTCTGTCGAATCCCCACTCCTTACAGATGTCTGAGGCTTCTTTACAAAATGTACATCTGACCAAGTCACTGCAGCTGAAGGCCTGGGATAACTCTGATGCCTCGCATTGGAGGTCCTCCTTCCAGGATCTACCCAGGATCTCCAATGGGTCCAGGAGGCCCCTGAAACTGTGCACAAGATGTGTGTTCATGTGTTCATTTCCGGGGAGGATCGATAGCTTTCATCAAGTCATCAGATGGGCCTGTGACTACCCCAAAAAGCTAAAGAGCCAACAGCCAAGGATGCCTGGCCTTCAAGATAAATAACTCCATGCTCCTCATCATAACTTACAGGGTCTTCCATAAGATGCTAGCCTGGCCTGGCAATGTGGGTCTCAATTTCCTCATCTATAAAATGGAGCTAATAATGGTACCTTCTCAATGCACTAACACAGGGACTAAACTAGCAAGTTAACATAAGCAAAGGGCTTAGAGCAGTGCCTAAGACGGAGCAGGGGCTACGCAGTATTAGCTCTCAGTAGTTTAACTCTAGCCTCGAACCTCACCCGACCACCATCCACTGTTGTGTTTTTAGGCTGCAGCTACAGCGAACCACCTGTAGACCCTTTGGACACTCACTGCTTAAACTGTTTCAATGGCCTGAAATGCCCTTTCCTCGGGGTTGGCCCCTGCCCACCACTCAGCCTTTCAGAGTTGAGAAGACTGTCCCATTTCCCAACCACAAACAGGTTTGGTTGCCCTTCCTCTGCTACCCAATGCCCGGCACAAACACCTCCCCCCTGGCTCCTCCCAGATATTACAGTGATCTGGTTATCACCTCTCTCCTGCCTCACTAGCCTGGCACCAGTGGAGAGTGTCAAGGACAGGGACTGCGTCCTGGTCACTATTCATTCCCCACGGCCCCGTGTAACATCTGGCCCACAGTGGTGTTGCTGGATGAACTCCTAAGCAGTCTCACTTCCCAGTCCTAGGCTTGAACTCATAGTTTCCCTGGCTAACACTCAGGGTGTCTTCCCCGACAGACATCTTGCGGCATCAGGACCAGCCTTCGTGGCCCTCCCGATACTCACATCGGCCTGATACTTGGTCATCACTGTCAGCGTGAGCTTGGCATAGGCCACGGACGTGGCAGCCGCTGGCCCCTCTTTACAGAGCTTCTCCATCAACACACTGAACTTCTCAGGGGTCATCTCCACCTGCACACATGGGGGGACGGGACATAATCAGAAGGGGCCCCGGATTCAATTCCCAACTCTACCATTTCCTAACTAGGTAACCCTGGGCAGGTGACTTAACCAAAGCCTCCACTTCTGCATCTGTAAAATGAGGTTCATGATATCTAACGCTAAAGACGGTTAAGAAGATTAAATGAGACAACGAACATAAAGCCTGGCACACAGGCCTTGGCTTGGCGGTTGCAGGTATAAAGGAGTGAGGAGTCCCCAGGGGTGTGGCCAGCGTAATAACAACAGCTCTCAGTAATAATGTGATCAATCCTTATTATGCATCAGGCACTGTTCTGAGCACTTTACACCAATTATCCGTTTCAACCTCACTCCGGCTTTGGGTGTAGGTACTGTCATCACTTTCATTTTGTAGATAGGGAAACTGAGGCACAAAGAGGTCAGGTCAACTCCCTAAGTTATAAACAAATGAGGGAGAACTTCAGGCAGTGATATGGAAAAGTCGCCAAAATATACTGTCAGGTTAAAAAAGCAAAGTACAGAGAACTGAGCTTGGTGTGTTACCATCTATATAAAAAGCAGGGGAAAAGTGCACTTCATCATGTCCCCTACGTAGAAGGACAGTGCTGGGAGGGTTCCCCCAGAACTGGCAACCGTGACTAGCTCTGGAGAAGGGAATCTGGATGGCTGGGGAAATAATTTTCACCATATCCTTTGATCTTTAAAATTTGTGAACAAATGGAGCACCTGGGTGGCTCAGTCGGTTAAGCATCTGACTTCAGCTCGGGTCATCTCACGGTTTGTGAGTTTGAGACCCGCATTGGGTTCTGTGCTGACAGCTCAGAGCCTGGAGCCTGTTTCAGATTCTGTGTCTCCCTCTCTCTCTGCCCCTCCCCCGCTTGTGCTCTGTCTCTGTCTCAAAAATAAAGATTACAATTTTTTTTATTTGCAAATAAATGAATCTATAACCTATTCAAAAATAAAATTAAATGTACACATAAACACATCAGAAAGTCCCTCCCCAAGGCCACACAGCTAGGAAGAGACAGGGCTGGGACTTACCAGGCAGTCGGCTCTCTGCTACCAGCCTTTCCGGCCCCAGGTCTCCCCCACTGTCAGGGAGACACCCGTTCTGCTTGCCCCCCCCCCACTGGAGGGATCGGAAACCCAGGAGCCCCTCCCCCCCCCCCCCCCCACAGCGCTGCAGCACTTCTGCGTCCACCCTTCCCCAGGCAGCTGGCTCACCTGCCGCTCCAGGAGAGACTGCAACACCAGGAACACTTCCTCTTTCCAGGGCAGCTCCAAGATCTGTCTGCAAAAAGCACAGGCCCTGGTGAGCCCGGCCAAGCCTGGGAATCCACTGCTCCTACAAGGCAGGGCCAGGCCCTGGAGACAGCCAAGACCCCAGCCAACTGAGAAGGACTCAGAGCCCCCGCTGCCAGCAGCCGTTCGGTCGCCAGCCCATACTTGGTGCCGGGAAGACTACAGCCTGAGACTTCTGGAAGGGATGGTGAAGGATGTGGTGCAAGGGGTAAAAGGTTCCCTGAAAAATAAGCAGGAGTGGAGAGTGCACCCCGGGAACAAAAGGTGCGGGTGACGCAGGGATGCAGTGAGATGACACCCATGAGGCTTTCTAGAGAGGGTGGCCTGCCCAGCGGAGCGTGTCCCACGGTGAGGTCCACCCCCTGTGTGCCTGTCCTACTGAGCAGTCCCCTGCTTGCGTGCAAAGGCAGCGCGTCACATGGAAACAGTGTGGCTTCATGGGTGCACGGTCTTGAGTCGGATCCCAGGCTTTATCACCAGCTGGCTGGGTGACCTCTGGCCACGTCCCTGAACTACTCTGAGCGTCGGTTTTTCCATCTCTACGGCGGCAAGAGCACTTACCTCACAGGACTGCATGAAGACTGAGATAAGGAATCTAAAGCACAGAGAACGTACTGGATAAGTGGTGGCCAACGTTGTTTTCGGGCTGCCCCCTTCTCATGTTACAGTTAGCGTTTTATAGTTCACATTCATGTCCAATGGGGTCTTAGCTACCCATTGTTCCTACACGTCTGGATCGGGACTCCGCAGGTTTAATACCCAAACCTGACGCCAATTTACTAACAACGTTTGAGCACTAACTAGGGGCCAAGTCCTATGCCGAGCTCTATGTGCATCATCACATTTGATAGCTAGAAAAATCCCACGGAGCGAGTATCATCTCCATTTTTCATATGCGGAAACAGAGGCTCAGAGAGATGGGATGACCTGTTTGGATGCAGCCAAGGCAACGTGGAGATGTGCTGTCTGTCCGACCCCAGGGCTCTTAACCACAGTGCCGTGCTCCGACTCCACGGTGCACTATTCAGGAGCAGGGACCACCGGCCTCTTCTCTGCCTTCTCCAAGGCACCCGGCATGGAAGGCTGAAACATTGGCCTTGGGAAGGTTCACGGGATGGCAATGGGCACCCACGGGAGGGAGGCAGCAGCGAGAGGGGCACCACTGTGCAGCTGCGTGTCTTTCAGGCACAGCGCCGGTACCCAGCCAGCTCCAGCTCCAGCCCCGGCATGCAGGGAGCCGGCTTGGCCAGTGGGAGGGGGCGGAGGCCCGCACACTCACCCCAGCATTAGAACCCGTGTGTCTGGCTCCAGGGCCTCGTCCTTCATAAGGCCGCAGAGTAACTCTGTTTGAGCTGGACCTGGGTAGGGGACAGCAGGAGAGGATGGAACAGAAGGCCTGGCTCATTACAGGGGGCATCGTCAGGGAAGCAGCAGGTAACTTTACGGACTGAATACGCAACTGCTGGGGCCACCCTGGAGGGAAGGGTGCTGGGAACAGAGGGGAGAGCCACTGGGCTGGGGCTGGTTCCAGAATTACCAGTTCCTGGGGCCTGGAGCACGGGGCCAAGAAGGGTTCTGCAGACAGCGTAGGCATACTTGGCACAGAAGGAGGTCAGCGCCGTCAGGAGCAGGCGGGAGGCTGAGGAGGTCAGGGACAGAATCTACAGCCAGAGGGAAGGAAAATGTTCATTCATTCCTTTCGTCTTCCCTGTAATAAATGCTCATCAGACATGTATTTATTTATTTTTTATTTTTTTATGTTTGTTTATTTTTGAGAGAGAGACAGTGAGAGAAGGAGTCACCGAATCCAAAGCAGTCTCCAGGCTCTGAGCTGGCAGCACAGAGCCCGACACAGGGCTCAAACTCCCGAACTGTGAGATCATGACCTGAGCCGAAGTCGGACACTTAACCGACTGAGCCACCCAGGCGCCCCCAGACACGTATTTAGATGGTGATAGACATTACAAAGAAAAAACAAAAGTTCTTTTATCTGGAACTCACATGGGAAGACACAAAGCTCCCTTCCCCAGCTCCCAAATCCCTTCAGCTTCTGGAAGGGTGTGGGGCCCGCGAGGGAGGCCTGAGATGCCATGTGGAGAGATGGCCTGGAGGTCCAGGCCCTTCCCGTGCCCCCTGGGAACCCCCTCTCCCAAGCACACCCTTCCGCGGGCTCACATTCTCTCCCCCACTGTTGCCAGCATGCCAAGTGTACCCCGGTGCACCTACCCGTCTAAGAAAGAGGCTCTTGGTCAGAATGGTGGCACTGCTGAGGCTAAGATCTGGTGAGAGGGACAGAAGCCAGGTGCAGAACTGCAGGAGAGCTGTGTCCGGGAGCTGTGGCAGCTGCAGCTGGGCACACAGCAGCTCCAGCTGGCGGGTAGGAGGGAAACAGAAACACCCTCTGCTAGGCCGTCTCAAGCCAGCTGGGCAGCAGAATGGGGGGGCAAGGACATGCCGAGCGAAGACAAGGCTGGGAGAGCGGCCCCATGGTGAGGAGCCAAGGGCTAAAAGGAAGCACATGGGGTGACCCCTGCCCAAGAGACCAAAAAACCCAATAAAATCGCCTCCCTGAATTCCCACACGAGGCCAGGAAACAAACTTACATGGAAGAAGGCTGGGGCGAGGGTGCGTACCCTCGGGGCCAGGCCGTCTTCCTGGACTCACCTGGCTCGGACTGCATTCATGGAGAAGCTGCAGCTCCACTGGAGGGGCGCCCTCCAAGCCCTGGAAAGACAAATCCAGTGTTAGGGCTGGCGGGGCCCCGGGTGACAAGTCAGAGACCACCCCTTTGTCTGGCACGGCAGGTGGGTGAGGGCCCTGGATGCTACCAGAGGGGAGGGACTGCTCTGGGGTTAGACGACGTCGCTGTACTTGGGTCGAGGAGAGCCCTTGTGGTGACGGTCCTCAGACCTTCACTCTGACCCTCGTCGCCCAAACAGCCTGTGCTCTCCTGGGCATGGCTCAGGTCCAGGCAGAAGGTGGTAGAAGGGCAATGGGGAGCAGGGCCCAGTTACCTCCCTGAAGGTCTTGAGCAGCTGCTGCAGCCTGGGAACCCGGTCCTGCAGAGGAGAACCCGATCACTGCCGAGTCCCTACCAGCCCAGCAGGCCCTTAGCCCAGCCCTAGTTTCCTCTCCCGAGAAGGCCCTGGGTCAGAGGGAGATAGGGGGCGAAGATGATTTATGAGGACCAAGAACAAAAAGCCTAGCCTTGAAAAGTACTTAAGAACTCAAAGCAGACAAGGCCCATGGAAATCCAGCTGTCTAGACTTGACCTCTCTGCACCCACCCTAATGGGGTAGACCCAGGCCTTGGGTTGGGAGGACAGGCTGGCACAGTCCCACCCCCTCTCCATCGGATAGTTCTGGAGCTTCTCTTTTGGCCCGGCACCATTTAACCTCACACTGTACATTATTAGGCCAAAGGTTCCCCACCTGCAATAACTCCCTTCCTACCTTGTCCTCAGAGTCTGTGGACCCCACCCCCAAACCCCTTGCTCCATGGACCACAGCTGTCCCAGTTGGGAAATAGTCTCCCAACCAGCTTTCACCCCGGATAACACCCCCCGCTCTTGGAGGATCCCTCTAAACCCAGTCTCCCCGCTCTAGTACCTGGATAGCTTTGGGCAGCTCCATATTCTCAGCGAGGCCCTTGGCATCCTCCAGCCTCTGACCAGACGCACTGGGCTCAGCCACACTGGGCTCAGCCACACTGGGCTCAGCCCCGACAGGCTGGTTCTTACTGGGCGATGCACCTTTTCCATCTGCCAGGGATTCCAAAGATTCAGGTTCGTGTCCCTCCTCCTCGTTACCTTCTTCCTCCCTTTCTACATATCGGAACCTTTTGGGAGCCCTCTCTCCCTCGGGCCGGGCAGGCTCTTCCTCTGGCTCCTTTCTGCGTTTCCCAGGCCGCTGGAGGTCCTCCTCCTCTTCCTCCTCTCCAGGATCCAGAGCCTGGGGCGACTTCAGCCTCCTGCCCCCTGGGCCCAGCCGCCTACACAGGCCTTGGAGCTGTCCCCGGCAGCTTTCAGACAGCGGGGATGTCCCCGCAGCAATCGACACCCCAACGTCCAGATCCCTTTGCAGCAATTCCCCCAGGGCCCGGAGCCAGGCGTCAGGGTCAGAGCTTTGGTCTTGCCGCGCAATCCGCAGCACAGACAGCAGTCCGCTTTCAGGCAGCGACGGCCAAACAGCCATCAGCAGGGACATCAGGTTCCTCTGGCATAACCGGGGCAATCGCAGCAGCAGCGGTTTCCTGGGCAGCAGAAGGACAAGCAGTCAGGAGTCTTGCCGTAAGGAGCACAGGACAGACAGCAAAGAGCTACAGGCTAGATGGCGACGGACAGACAGGGTGGCTGGGAGGCAGCACCTGCGAGTCCATGTGGATGGAGGGGGACGGCGTGACAGCCATTCAACACGCATTCACTGAGCGTGTCTTTTACGTTGCTGCTGCTGTTAAGCCGGCTTGAGTTCATTTTACTATTACGAAACAGCCAGAAGTTCTCGGAACAATGCAATATTTTAAAAAATTGAGCATGGATTCACGTATTCTATGCTAGGCTCTGCTCTTTGACATCTAGTTCAGCTCAAAATTCATGTTGAAACCTACTCTAGAAAAGATCTATCCTTGTTTTACATAACAAAAAAAAGTCCCTTCCCAAACTTTACATAAAAATAATACGTCAGGCGCGTCTGGCTGACTCAGGCAGCAGAGCAGGGGACTCTTTTTTTTTTTAATTTTGTAAAAAGATTTCATTTATGTATTTATTTAAGTCTACACCCAACTCTCTATGGGACTTTGCAGGACCGCTTATCACCGTACACGCCGGGCACCTGGGATGTGTGAAAGAGGAAAAAGTCTGACTTTTATTTCTTTGTGAAAAACAAACATTAACTGAGAGAGAAAACTAAAGTAAAAGTTAAAAAGGTGGTCAATCTGGGGCGCCTGGGTGGCTCAGTCGGTTAAGCGACTGACTTCAGCTTACGTCATGATCTCATGGTTCATGTGTTCGAGCCCCATGTCAGGCTCTGTGCTGACAGCTCAGAGTCTGGAGTCGGCTTCAGATTCTGTGTCTCTCTTTCTGCCCCTCTCTCTCCCCTCGTGCTCGGTCTCTCTCTCAAAAATAAACATTAAAAAAATTTTTTTTAAAAGATGGTCAATTTGTGGTCGAGGATGTTTAGAAGTAGAGGTCAGGAAGACCCTACTTCAAGAGCTTTTAACATTTTTGTGTGCATGAACCCCCTTATCAAAAGAAGTGTTAAATGCACAAAATAAAACACATGACATTATGAAAGAAATCAATTATACTGAAGTAAAGTTGTACCCAGGGACTTTAGATTAAGACCCCCTCCTCTTATTCTGTCCAGAAAAAGCCAGACAGCTGGACAAACATTTCTCTGACCTCCAATTTGGGGATGCAGAAAGTTCTCCTGACTCATTTCTTGAAAGAAATTTAAGTGTGGTGTGGGAAGACAACATTAGAACTTATATTTCTACTTATCTAAAACACAAGAATTTAAGTATCACAAATATTTAATGAATGGAATGTCCCTTCATCTTCAAGTCTCCAGCCCAATTTTGAGAGAGGGGTATCCAAGAGTGCAGAGCCCCCTAGAGGCTGAAGGAGGCACATCAGTCACTTTTTAAACTTTCTGTGTACTTTAATTATGATAATCAGAGGAGTTTATGAATACAGTATTGTTTTTTTAACAACACCAACCTCACTAAATGGACACACGGCTTATAAGGATGACTGAAAAGAAACTGAATACCAGTAAAGGATGCACACCTTTGGCAGAGCTGACCCTTCTGGCAGAAATTGCCACATAAAAAAAAGTTCAAAGTCATCCCAAAGACCATAAACTATCAAGAACACCATCCTTAAGGAAAGTGATTTTGCCCTAGAATGTACACTGCGCTTTGAAAATTTGACATTCTAAAGCCACGCCAACAGATGTCCCTTCTGTCACCACGTTTTAAATTTTTGTATACTTTATGAGTTACTTTTTAAAAAGTTTTATTTATTTGGAGGGGAGTGGTGGGCAGAGAGGGGGAGAGAACCCCAAGCAGGCTCCACTAAGTCAGCACCGAGTGCGACAGGGGGTTGGATCCCATAAACCACGAGACCGTGACTTGAGACCATGACTTGAGTCCAATTCGAGTCAGAGGCTGAACTGAGCCACCCAGGCACCCCTTGGGCATTATTTTTACACTTATGTACACTTTGTTATACCTAAGTATCCCTATGCTGGAGGTAGGAGTTCCATTTCTTTAGAGATGGGAGTCTGCGATCAGAATCTATTTGAGTCCACTGGCTTTTTAAAAAAAATTGTGGGGTTTTTTTTGTTTTTTTTTTGAGAGGAAGAGAGCATGAGCCAGAGAGGGGCAGAGAGAGAGAGGGAGACACAGAATCCGAAGCAGGCTCCAGGCTCTGAGCTGTCAGCACAGAGCCCGAGGCGGGACTAGAACTCAGAAGCCACCACTAGATCAGGACCTGACCTGAGCCGAAGCGGGACGCAAACCCAGCTGAGCCAGCCAGGCGCCCCGAGCCCACCGGCTTCTAATTATTCATTTACACTCAGCCGAAGACGTATGTCTTCCAGGCAGGTTCTCAGTAAAGGTCTGTCGGACCCCCAGACCTACAGGGTGCGCGGCCGCGGGGAACTAATTAACCTCTCCGGGATTCGGTCTCTTCGTTTAGAAAAGTGGGCGGATGCCAGCCCCTGCCTCACACCACCTCGGAGGATGAAACGCCGCGCCCCTCGACCAGACGACTTACAGCTCAAGGCGACAGTCCGGGCCCTCCACGACGGGCTCCTCCTGGCACAGCGCCTCGAGGACGTGGCCCCAGCCGAAGGGCTCCCCGCCGCGACTGCCCAGCGCCCGCAGCAGGCCCAGGCCGCGCCGCGCCCCATCCGGCCCCGCCTGCAGCGCCTGCAGCAGGAGCCGGGCGGGGGCCTCCAGGTGCGCCCAGGGCGCCTCCCCCGAGCCCTCAGCCACGGCGGGTGCAGCCTCCGAGGCTGCCATGCCCGGGTGCCGCGCCGGCTGCCGATCTGGTTGGCCTCGGCCTAGATAACTGGGGAAAGGCAGGAGGACCCTGGCGCCTGCCCCGACGTCGCGGCGAGCCCCCGCCCGCACCTGCCACTTGCCCCGCTCGGCGCTCGGAGACGCACACTGAGCCCCGCGGGCCGTAGCCGGCGAGATTCGCGCGCGAAGTTAGAAAGGTACTGAGTGGGGTGTGGCTAGGGGCGGGGCCGGACGTGGAGCGAGGGGCCGCGGCAGGCCGGAAGGGGCGGGGCTAGCAATGGTCCGGGCCGGAGAGTCGGGGAACGGAGTAAGGGGGCGGGAGGAAGGCCCCGTGAGATCCGCGGGTGGGGCGGGACCGCAGTGAGGGTAGGGCCACGAGGTGGGAATTCGCTCGTAGGAGGGGTCACGCCGGAGGGAGCGGAGGGGGGCGGGGCTTGGTGGAGGGGTGGATCCTTGCCTGCTGACCTACACCTTTCTTCCTCCGCCCTCCTTATGCTCCCTGAAGTAGGAGGGCGGAAGATGGGGTGCTGATTGGATGTCAGGGATCGTGTTGTTTTTTTTTTAAATATATATATTTTTAAATGTTTAGAGGAAGATAGAGCGGGAGCAAGGGAGGGACAGAGAGACAGGGAGACAAAGAATCTGAGGCAGGCTCCAGGCTGTCACACAACTCCCCAACGCGGGGCTTGAACCTACGAATCATGAGATCATGACCTGAACTGAAGCCCAAAGCTTGACTGACTGAGCCCCCTGGAATCCTATTGTTCTTCAGGATCCAAGCATCATTTAATTTTATCTGGTGTCCATGTTATGTGTAGATCAGAAACTATGATAGGATTTGATCACTGTTTACCAACGCACGTTGATGTCACCTCTTCCACAGGCCATCAGTTACCATTATTAGGGTTTCAGTCCTCTAGAAATATTTGATGCACAACTATCCCCTAGAATGGGGTCGTAGTAAAACCTAACACTATTTGGCCAAAGGCCTTGCTGTGAACATCCTCACAAAGTCCTAGAAGCGGACTTGCTCTGGTTGTTTACAAGGACCAGGGAGTGGCTTCACGCCCCAAGGTTTCAGTTTTAAGGAAATTTGCTGGAGGAGGCAGGGTTCTAGAGAACTAGGGGGCGAGGAGGAATCACTACAGAGGATAAGACTAAAGAGAGGGGAGAAGAGGTCTACAGCACCCCACTACCGCCACTTGGGGTTCCAGTTAGTACTTACCATTCTTCCAGTTTCTGCGGTTACACACAATATCCATTCATTCAATAAATCTGTGCTGAGCACCTAGGGCTGGGGCTTCAGGGAACAAAACAAACCCCTCCTCCTCCAGTGAGGAGAGACAACTAATAAGTAAACATTAGAATGTTTGACTGTGGTGAGTACTTTCAAGAAAATATATAGCAGGGAAGCAAGAGGACAGGGAGGTAAACTTAAATAGGTAGTCAGGCAAGATGAATCTGAAGAAGTTAAGGGAGCAAGCCAGGTAGAGATCTGTGGGCAGATCATTTCATGCAGAAGGAGCAGCATGTGCAAAGGCCCCAAGGCATAAGCATGGCTGCAGCAGAATGTACTTGGAGAATAATCAGAGAAGAGATCAGAGAGGTAACTGGGCCAGATCTTGTGTGGCCTTGAGATCAGAGAGAGGACTTCGGTTTTCACTCAAAGTAGCATGGTAAGCATAGGAATATTTGGTTTGTTTGTTTCTTAAGTAATCTCTACACCCAATATGGGGCTTGAACTCATGGCCTTGAGATCAAGGGTTGTACGTTCCACCACCTGAGCTGGTTAGGCGGGCGTGGTAATGGTATGGTAAGCCATAGGAATGTTCTGAGCTGGATCTGATTTTCATTGGAGCCAAATTTTTGGTTTTTTCCAAAATAATTTCAAGGGAGCTGTTGAGAAACACTAAGGAGTATCACTTGGATAGTGACGGCTTTGCAGACACCACAGCAGCAAGAGTTTTGCACAGAGATCTCTGTCTCAGGTCAGCTGTTCTAACTTCATAGGGGATGTTTTTGGTCTTCAAATGACCGGCTGGTGGAGGGACTGGCCCTGACAAGTAGTGGGTAGGGTCAGGAATGCTAAAGAGCCTTCAGTGACTTGCCGACCCTCAACTACCAGCATTACCCTGTGGCTGTGGCTCTGGCTCATGCCCACAAGGTCTGCATGCTAGCCCATGGGAAGGAGAGTGGAGAGGAACGTTCTCAGCGCGGTTCAAGAACTTTCATGGGACCCACGAAGTCATTACTATTTTTATAATACTAAGATGTTACTTGCCCTTTCCAGTCTCTTATTCTAATGAGCATAAAGTGAAGTTTTCCAGAGGCTAAGTGATGGGTGATATTGCAACAGAATGAATGCAGAAACCCCCGCTGGTTTAGGGGGAGGGCATCCAGACTAGGAGCAGACATTCCTCAGACACCAGCGGTAACGGCTTAGGTGCATTTTATTAGTTTCATCCAGAATCCTACAAAAAGCAACGTTAAAAACCAAGTCCCTGGCAAGAGAGTGAACACTTCCTCTCTGCCGAGAGCCCTCCCCCTCTTCCCCTTGCTGTGTCAGTACTAGCCTCCTGGGGCATGGAGGGCTTGCCACTTTCACCCCCCCCCCCATCAAGTCCAGAAAGGGAAAAGACCTACCACCTAGCAACAGCGTGCCCCTCGACCCCGTCCCCCACATGTTGATCCTGGTCACAACAGGCCAAGGCAGGAATTATTGGGATCCGGTAAGAGTTCTGAACCCCAGAAGGCCATGGCCAGGGCACAGTCCACGAGGAATGCTTCGTCCTTCGGCTCGATGCCCCCTGGGTACCCTGTTGGGCCCGGCACCTGGGAGTAGAGAATGAAATCAATGAAAACCCATCAGCTTCAACCCACTTGCCCCAAGTACAAGAAAATCAAGGCTGACCCATAAGGTTGGGTAGGTTGCCCCATCCAAGCAGGCACCATTATCCTCATGGACATCATGTATATGTCTTACATTTATCAGATATTTGTTATAAACAGGACAAGTAGCCTCCCTGTCCCATATTCCTGCTGTTACCACCTCACTCCCAGAGGTCAGCTGCATACTCTCAGTCCAGGGAGAATCAGAGGACAGGGCTTTATCCGGTAGCTGGTGCAGATAAATACAATCAGACTTGAAGGGGCAGCGGCCATTCCCCTGCACGAAGAACCGACATCGGATCTGGCTAGGAGAGGACAGAAGGAGAGAAGACCATTGCCTTCAAGCCCTGTTGCACCAGGAACAAGGAGCTCTCAAGGCTGACGTGTAAGGCTGGGCAGGTCGCAAACAGCACAAAGGCACTACTTGTACGCAGCCACCACTGGCATCATAGACAGTGTAGATTTTACAGTTATTACAACTACATTCCGGCAGATGGCAGTCAAGTGTCCTAAGGTGGGTACCTTTACTCAGAGCCTCACAAAGTCCATTGGGGCTCGCAGTGACCCTGGGCATCTCTTTTCCTTCTTTGAACGAAGTTTCAACAATACCACCAAAAGAGATAATCCTAAAATGTGTCTCTGTAAACAAGTTAGAACAGTTCTGAGGACTGGGCTTATGACTGGGCAATTGCTGGCTAATGAAATGAAATTGATGCCCTTTTTCTTCCTCCTCCTATTTACCCAAACGTGGCATCAGGACCCCTTCCACCCGGATAGCCTACAAAAACCCCACACGCAACCTATCTACATCCCCATCGGCTTCCCTTTTTTCGCCCTCATGTGACAGTGACAGTCCTGGGGTCTCCTATGCTGCAAATATTAGGCATCTTAAATCTTCCTTCTATCCTCATGGTCGGTTGGCCACTTCCTCTCAGTGCCCACCCCCATGCCTTCCAGTATGCACCAGGAGTTGGAATGCCTGCCTTCAAATCCCTTTCTCACTTGAGTCATACAGATCATGCCTCAGTTTCTTCTTCTGCAGCGTGAGGATCGTAAGGCGCCTTACTTTGCAGAGTTTATAATGTGCAAAGTCTGTCATATGTAATAAGCCCTTCACCTACATCGTCTCCTCTCCTATCTGGGCCTGGGTGCTCCCTTCTGGCTTAGACGATTTCTAATGACTCCCGACCGGAACCGCAGATGCCAGTATCTCCCCACTTTGACCTGTCTCTGCCTGGAGCGCTCTCATTTTTCTCCTCTCAAGGAGCCCCCTACTTCTCTTCCGACACACAGCTCAAATACTTCTTCCTCTGTGAGACTCACCCAAGAGCTTTTCCCCACTTTGTTGATCCAGCTCTTAACAGTTCCCAGCAAAATCCAGGTGCCTTCGCAAGAAGGTGGAATGTCTCACAAGTAGAGACAAGATCTTTTTTTATCCCACCCTTTATCCAAATAGACTTTGCATAGGTGGCATACAATAAACCCTTCAGGAAGGTGAAATTAAGAACCTGGAATTGTAGTTAATTCCAGATCTGGATATGTGCCCACCCTCCACAAGAGAGTAAAACCTCCTGACCTTTTCCCTGTCTCCGTGGGCTGCCTTTTGGTCTCTTTCTCAGAGACCTCACATTGTAAAAGATGATCTACACAAACAACATTCATATCCATTCACCTTCTTGTTTAAAAAAAAAAAAAAAAAATCAGAAGTAAAAGCCAAGCAGGGTTTCTCATGGCGCTGAGAAAACCAGAGGTGCCCTGCATTGACCTTGAGCCAGGCTGGAGGAGAAACGTGGGCTTGATCTGCTGCTGTTGTCTTGGTCACTCATCATCATTTCCTGGGCTTTCTGAAGTTGTTGCTCACATCCTCGTCTGCCACCTCAATCACTCTGAACTTCTAGGATTTGGGGGAAGGCTGGGATCCAAGGCTGGGCCGGAACGGAGCAGAGACCATCCTCCCCCTTCCCTAACCTGGGTCTCGGTCCCTGGGCCAGCCTCACCTGGTCCGAGCCTTGAAGTTCCTGATGAGTTGCTCCTTCTCAGCCCCCTTGCTCACCCAGAACTTGTGGGGAATGATGTAGCTGGAATGGACCCGGCACTGGGGACAGGCCCTGCCGAAGGGGGGAGAATAGTCACCAGCCCTCACTTCTCTGAGGGGTTTCCCTCCCTCCCTGTCGGCTCCCCGCTGCCACTGACTTGATAACGGCCAGCGGGAAGTTGTGCTGGCTTTTCCGCCAGGTGCGCAGGCAGCCCAGGCAGTGGGCGTGGGTGCAGTTGGGCAGGATGCCGAAGATCCGCTCGGCCTCTGGCTTGTCCCACACCTTGTCCATGCAGATGCCACACACGATGTCCCGACTGTCTTGCTCCCTCTGCAGCCACACACAGGGTCGGGGCACATCCATGTCCACCCCCCACCCCTGACACACACATATACACCGCCGTCCCAAATACAGCCTGGAGACCAGAGCCCTCCTCCAGCTGGCCTGGGCATCTCAGGGGTCCAGCATTGGCATCCTCTGCCCTGCCCCTCCCCTGCTACCTGCTGCAGCTCCAGGTCCAGGCTCTGAAGCGGGGCCGTGAGCTCCCGGACAGGGTCTGACTTAAGCTGAGGCTCCCGGGGGTAGCTGTGATCGTCTTCAGCAGCTGTTGGAGAAAACTGGATCCGTTCATTCATTTACTCATTCGTGCAGCATCTACTGAGTGTCCACTGCACACAGGGCTCTATGGGCTCACAAGGTCCTGCCCCCAAGTAGCTTGAATCCGGTCAGAAGTGTAAGTCTCTAACACTTAAATATAGAGAACAGAGGGGTGCTGGAGGGGTTGTGGGAGGGAGAATGGGCTAAAAGGGTAAGGGGCTTAAGGAAGCTACTCCTGAAGTCACCGTTGCACCATGTGCTAACTAACTTGGATGTAAATTATAAAAAATAAATGAATTAGGGGCGCCTGGGTGGCTTAGTCGGTTGAGCGTCCGACTTTCGCTTAGGTCATGATCTCGCGGTTCGTGGGTTCGGGCCCCACATTGGGCTCTGTGCTGACTGCCGGCTCAGAGCCTGGAGCCTGTTTCAGAGTCTGTATCTCCCTCTCTCTCTGACCTTCCCCTGCTCACGCTGTCTCTCTCTCTCTCCTAGAAATAAATTAAAAATAAATAAATTATAGAAAAAAGAAAAAAAAAAAGGAGTGTAAGTCTCTAATACAACCATTTATAACTCTGCTGTCTAACACAGCAGCCGCTGGCCACATGTAGGTTATGGAGCACCTGAAATGCAGCTAGTGTGAACTGAGATTTTGAAGCTCAGTACCAGAAAAGACTCTAAAATATTCCATTAATAACTTTTTATATTGATTACATGTTGGGATGATTTTGGGTATATAATTTTTGATATATTGGGCTAAATAGAGTATTAAACATAAATTTCATCTGTTGCTTTTTACTTTTTTAATGTGGCTCCTAGAAAAATGTAAATTGCAGGGCACCTGGATGGCTCAGTCAGTTAGGCATTCCGACTCTTGATTTCAGCTCAGGTCATGATTTCACGGGTTCGTGAATTTGAGCCCTGCATCAAGGTCTGTGCTGATAGATTCTGCTTGGGATCCTCTCTCTCTCTCTCTCTATCTCTCCCTCTATCTCAAAATAAACAAACATTGAAAAAACAATTTTAAATAAAAAATGTAAATTGCATAGGTGAATTGCAACCACTTTGGAAACAGCTGGGCACTTTCTCAAAATATTAAACATGGAGTTAGCACACAATCCAGCAATTCTACTCCAATTCTACTCGTACGTATATACCCAAGAAATGAAACGCACATCCACACAAATCCACATCCATACGTGCCTGCTTACAGCAACATTATTCGTAAAAGCCAAAAAACAAAACAACCCAAAGGTCCATCAACTGATGAATTAATAAAATAAAGGGCAGTATTTTCATATAACAGAATAGTATTCAGCCATAAAAAAGAATGAAGTACTGATCCGTGCTACAACAATGGATGAACCTAGAAAATGTGATGCTACGTCCAAGGAGCCAGGCACGAAGGGTTGTATGGTGGGATTCTGTTTATATGAATGTCTAGAACATTATATGTCTAGAACATCGCTTAACCAATGAGCCACACAGGTGCCCCTTCAGGGCACGTTTTTGGAGAATTTGTGAATTATATCTCACTAAAGCTGTTAAAAAATTATATATAGGTGACTTGTGTTTCCGCTGGACAGCACTGAATTAGGTCAAGCATTTGAAAAATAACTAACGTTTCGTGTTTATTCTGTGCTGCGTAATGTGTGCTAAGCACATCACATTTATGAACTCACTGTACTCTCACAGGACCCCGTGAGGCAGGAACTGTTATCACTGAGGACCCAGAGGTCCAGAGAGGTTAAGCGACTTATCCAAAATCACACAGCCACTAAGTGGCAGAGCTGGCATTTGAAACTAGGTGGTTTGACTCCACAGGCACCATGACATTCTGTTTCTAGAACACAGACAACAGAGCTGGAGGAAAGTTTCCCTCTAGCTGGGGATCTTGAGGCGGGAAAAAGGTAAAAGGAGATATAAACCTTGCTCAGAGACCGCACAGGAAGCCTGGTCTCAGACCCCACGTGGGCCCACCTGATGACTCACATGATGGTGACAGGGACTTCCAGGAACTGCCACCAACCTCCTCGGCCTTGCCGGCCAACCCCACCAAGCCAGGCTCCGTGCCCCAGCAGGGCCCCGGCCAGTCCCAGCCCATAGCCCCAGATGGCAGGTAGGCAGGCTCGGAGCCCCTGCGGGTCAGCCCCAGCCGGGGTCTTGGCAGGGTGACACGTGGCTCCGAATGGCGCCGGCCCCATTCCAGGTGGCCAGGGGGCTGAGGGTGCCGATAGCTGCAGAGGGAAAGAGAAGAGTAAGGAGACGCAGACAGACCCGCCAGGGCTCGGGGCCAGCTCAGCCTAGAACTTGGAACGGAGAGGGGAGAAGGGGCTTTGGGAAGATGCGCAGTCCAGGAAGGGATGACCTTCCTGTGCCCCCCACCCTACTCCCCGTTCAAGGACAAGGGCTGCTTACCTGCACTGATCCCCATGGAGACAGAAGCCTCGCTGGAAGTATCTGCAGACCTGGGACGCCTTCCTGTCTTGAGCGAAGTAGCAGCTCAACCCCCAGCGACAGGCCCCTCGGGCAAATGTCCTAAGAGATTGTCTGAGTCATGCTCAGCCCCCCGTTTCAGTTCCTGCCTTTGTGATCCTTAGAGAGAAAGGCTGCAGGATAGCTGAACACAGGCTCTGGAGTGGGTCCTGTGTTCAAATCCTGCCCCTCTGGGGAGCCCTGGGTGGATACCTCAAACTCTCTTAAAGCTTGGTTTCCTCACTCTTTTTTTTTTTTTTTTAATTTTTAAAACACTTACTCATTTTTTGAGAGACAGAGAGAGAGAGAGTGTGAGTGGGGGAGGGACAAAGAGAGAGAGGGAGATACAGAACCCGAAGCAGGCCTCAGGCTCTGAGCTGTCAGCACTGAGCCCAATGTGGGGCTCGAACCCACGAAACAGGAGATCATGACTTGAGCTGAAGTCAGATGCTTAACTAACAGCCCCCCAATCACCCCTTGGTTTTCTCACTCTTAAGGTTCATGGGGCACCTGGGTAGCTTTGTCAGTTAAGCATCTGACTCTTGATTTCAGCTCAGGTAGTGATTTCACAGTTCATGAGATTGAGCCCTGTGTTGACAGAGGGGAAGCTGCTTGGGATTCTCTCTCTGCCTCTCCAGTGCTTACACACACACACACACACCCTCTCTCTCTCTTTCAAAATAAACAAACATTAAAAAAAAAGAAGGTTAACAATGCTTTGTTACCTCAGAGTTGTTGCGAGGGTTTAAAAAATTTTTTTAAATGTTTGTTTATTTTTAAGAGAGAGAGACCTAGTGTGAGTGGGGGAGGGGCAGAGAGAGGCAGAGACACAGAACGTGAAGCAGGCTCCAGGCTCTAAGCTGTCAGCACTGAACCCAAAATGGGGCTTGAACCCATGAACTGTACGATCATGACCTGAAGTCAGACCCTTAACCAACTGAGCCACCCAGACGCCCTGCAAGAGTTTGTGTGTGTGTGTTTTTTTTTTTTTTTTTAACAGTTTGCACGACACACTGAGTGAATGCTCAGTTAATCACAGTGATTACTATTCTGTTCTCCAAGTAGAGTCTTGTGGGTTCTGGAGTCAGAACTCTGGTTCAAACTCTGGTACTAGGGCCAGCTTCACGGCGTGGACATGTGCAGTCACACAGGGGCCCCACGCTTGCTTTAATGACCTGCTGTTGCCCACCTGAAATGATTACATTTTTTAACAAGGGCCGTGATGTTGATTTTGAATGGGGGCCCACAAATTACATAGCCTGCTCTGCCTGATACAGCTACGTCTTGGAGGTGCCTCAGTTCCTTCATCTGTAAAATGGGGATAATATTAGTACCTATTTCCCAAGGTGATGTCAAATGTAAATGAGCTAATATACGTGAGACACCTGGCCCATAGCAAGTCTTCAATAAATAATAGCTGCCGTCTTCCTCATCATCACTAACTACAGGGAGTTTTGAGGGTCAAGGTTGGAGATGGAGAAAGGAAGGAGGAGGCTGGGTTGGAGTGGATTTATTAATCTACTACAGGCTCAGGCCCGGGGCCAGGGCTCTGGGACAGTGGTCCTCTCTTGTCATGTGCTTCCTTGCCTGGAGAGCAAATGAGGCCACACCTGAGGTGGCCAGGGCATCAGGGATGGGGACAGAGGCCTTATTCTAGTCCCGAGCTAAGGGTCTGCCATAGACTGGTCAGCACCACTCCCTCAAGAGTGTCCAATGGTGACCGGTCCCGGCAGAGAAGCAGGCCGAGGGAGGGAAGACAAGCCACAGGACTTGTGGGTGAGGGTTCTGGATAGTGGGGCACGCGGTCCTGCATCTACAACAGTGGTGGGGAGCCCCTGGATGAGAACCTGCCTGCGGCGCTCCTGCTGCGGTGACAGAGCAGAGAACCTAGGCACCAGGGTCAAGACTAGCAGGAGGGGCGTTGGGACACTCCCCTCACACGGAGCATCTCAGGGGGCGCCAAAACAAACAAACACCTCACCAATAAAAGAAATATTTTAAAGATCAAAATTAATGCAAAAAAAAAAATCCTCAGCAAACGAACTATCCACCTTTAAAACAAAGGGAGAGTTCAACCCCACACAAACTATTTGCCTCCACCCACTCCGTCCATGCAGACCGCGGAAAGGGCTAGACAGAAAGAAATGGTTGGCAAGGTGGGGACTCAAGAGGGTGGTCAGAAGGCCTTTGAGAAGGTGGTAGTGTAACCGTGCAATCGTGACCACAGTGGTGGTTATTATATTATTATATAACAGTATACTTCTAATAATAATACTGGTTGTTATTTTCATGGAAGCTATTGTGAGGCCCTGGACTGTAATGTTAAAGATCACTAAACAGTAGGTTTTGGTGATAGGCCATTGTGTAATTTTTGCCATTTAATTCAGAGGAAAGGCAAAGAATCGAGTGCCCCCGCATAACAAATCACCTTTCATTCCCATCCACTTATTTACGTGAACAAGATTTCACAGTGCTTCCTTTAACAAAAATTAAAAATAGAAACTGATGTTGGGGCACCTGGGTGGCTCAGTCAGTTAAGTCTGACTTCGGCTCAGGTCATGATCTCGAGGTCCGTGGGTTCAAGCCCCGCATCGGGTTCTGTGTTGACAGCTCAGAGCCTGGAGCCTGCTTCAGATTCTGTGTCTCCCTCTCTCTCTGCTACCCGCTCCCCACCTTCCCCCATTCCCACAAGTTTTTTTCTCTCTCTCGCTCTCAAAAATAAGCATTTTAAAAAATTTAAAAGAAATTGATGTTGAACTTTGGCTTATTCTACCAATAAGTAATACTTATATCCATGGATACATGAGCTCTTTGGGGAGAAGAAAAAAAAAAAAGCAACTGTCCTATCCACCTCAGGAGAGAATTCTCTGAAGAAAATTTTTTGCTATTTAGTAATTAACTCTTCAGGTTGTTTTGATCAATTGAGTAGTACCGATAACTAAATCCAGAGGAAAAAACCTAATTTTGTTTCACAAGTATCTTTGTTGCAGGAACATATATAACATTGTGGTGAGCAAAAGACAGAATCTGGGAATAAAAATATGTTAGGATAAATTTTGGGGGGGAAGTGAAACGGAGGAGGCATGCAAGGGAAAAAAATGAATTTTTTTTTTTTTTAGATGGATGACATTATGTGTCAAATCTCTCTGGTATTTCGATGCCACTGGATACATGGAGAAAAGAATGGACTTACGCCTGCCCCGCTCACCTGCCTTCTTGGTCAGCTGCCTGCCTACACAGCAAGTTCACTGGCAGGATTGAAATTTCTACCCAGAGGGACAACCTGCCCCAGCCCAGTGCTCTGTGGTGCCTTATAATCGTTCTCACTGCCTGGCTTGGAAACATGAGAAGCTGCTGCAGGAAGATTGAGGGCAAGTTCTTGTGGGCTTGGAACACATCCCTCAAAATCTTGCCTGAAGCGCCAGCCTTGGAAAAGAAAGATTCAGAAATGACAAATCGCATTTGATTTAGTGATGTAACTTCTCTCTGAAGACATCTCTTAAAAAGCTCTTCTTGAATTTTTTTAAAGTAATTGTTTCATTTTTTTAAGTTTTTAAAAATGTTTTTTATTTATTTTTGAGAGAGACAGAGAGACAGAGTGCAAGTGGGGGAGGGTTAGAGAGAGGGAGGGAGACACAGAATTGGAAGCAGGCTCCAGGCTCTGAGCCGTCAGCACAGAGCCTGATGCGGGGCTCGAACTCATAAACCACAAGATCACGACCTGAGCTAAAGTTGGATACTTAACCGACTGAGCCACCCAGATGCCCCTATTTTGTTTTATTTTAAAGTGGGACTATTTGTAATACTTAAGAGAAGATAATCTTTTGCAACAATTTATATTATGACATAAACCAGTAGGTAACTTGAAGTGTGGAGGGACAAGCGATTTTCCAAATTTCTCTTAGGAAGTGTGTGGAGTGGTGCCTAGTCTGCTATGTTTCTGCTCCCAGTTACAATGTTCGGGGAGTAAACACAAAAAGGCTGGGCGGGTGCAGGGACCAGACCAGTGGGTGATAACCAAAGTTCAGCAGGGTTGGGGAGGGCAGAGGTGGAAAGGAGAATCGCCACGGAAAGGGGGTGATCCTAGAGCAGGAGCCAGTAGCCCTCAGAGGAAGGGCTTGCAGGTCTCCTCTTCAACAATGGAAGCCTCCAGAAGGGGAGAGGTGCTGGGAAAGTTCTGCCTTTCCCTGAAGAGCACCAGGGAGGCCAACCTCCAGGACTGCGGAGACCGGGGCCACCCAACGAACTCCTTCTGAGAGGCTCAGTGACAAGAGGTCTCCAAGCACGTCCACGGGGGGCTCAGCCCCTTTGATGAGCCGCAAGAAGAGGGGGGCTAGGGGCTTTGTGATCAATCCCATTTGAGTAGCTCTTCTAGATTTTTTCAGGGTCCTGTTGTATATCGCTTACTGTGTGTGAACGTATTTTAAAAAAATTTTTTTTTAACATTTATTTATTTCTGAGAGACAGAGAGTAAGGGGGAAGGGGGAAGGGGCAGGGAGAGAGGGAGACACAGAATCTGAAGCAGGCTCCAGGCTCTGCGCTGTCAGCACAGAGCCCGATGTGGGGCTCGAACCCACTAACCGTGAGATCATGCCCCGAGTTGAAGTCGGTTAATTGAAGTCGGATGCT